GAAAATCTCGACGCGCTGACTTAGCAGGATCTGAGATCCGTACCAACCCGGATCGACTGCCCCCTCGAACGTCAGCTGGACATAGTGTAAACGGAGACAGTCTTCTGTCTCTGGCTCAATTAATCGGCTGCGCTAGTGGATCCGGCGTAGCAAGTGAGACGAATCGATTAGGAGAAAACATCGCTGCAAAAGACCCATGCAATGACACGTGAGAGATGATGCCGAAGTTGACGCACGCTCAGGGAGGGAGGGAGCAAATATGCAAGAGCATGGCTATGCAAGTTACGTATGCAACTCCAGGGGAGAAGACAGAGAAGAAGAAACCCTCCAGATCTCGCCTCCCCTGGTTTCTCCCTCCCTCTACCAACTTTATTGTTTTTCTCGTTACCCTTCGCAGCCCGATCATCCGGTACAGAGATCACATCGGGGGAGGCTGCTGGGTACATCGATTTGTGGAACTGAGTGCAATCAATCCGTGCACGACCGAAAGCTCGCGGCATGCAGCTACTGTACACCGTATTTCCGTAAAGCGCAGTCGCCCAGCGATGTTTCACCAAATCCGCCGCGTCTTTTCGATTCTTGATTTCTCCATCCTTTCGTTGATGGTACAGCATCGTCAGGAAGCAATCCTCCGCGCGGAAATCCATCTGGCCTTGTGCGACACATGCATATGTGCGTGCACTCCCATCTGGCAGCCCCAACCCCTAGGATCGCCTCCCGCCCTTCTCCAGGCATACCCAGGTGATCTCATCACATCGCAAAACACGCACGCTGATGCCTATCTCGTAATTCCGCCCGAGCCGTCGTCTTCCCTGCTCTTGCCCAATCACCACGAGCGATTTGGATAAACAGAACGAGCAGGACTCCGTATACCCCACACCCACGACCTACACGCTCGTCTCTCCTGATCCTAGGAGTTCAATCAAGAAAAGAGGAGCAAAGGTAACCACCGCACACCATTGGAGGGGCCGCAAATGTATGAGCAGTCCAATCTGAAACCCTCCTCTAGCCTTGAGTGCCTGCGGCATCGTGACTCGCCAAAAACCGCGCCCTCGAATAATCAGGCGGTCAAGAAGGCGACGACGTGTGATCGGGATAAGACTTGCCTATCCCGGCGACCTGCTTACGAGCGAGCCGGTCCTGCCAATCCGCGTGCAGACTCACTGCAAGCGAATGGTGAGGGGGATTGTGGAAAAGGGAAACAAGCCCGCACGACTCTATGCCAAGACGAAATCTTGTTTATTCCCGGGATGCAGGACGCTCCACAAGAAAAATCTACCAGCTGTGTGCTTCGCACGATCACCCTTATCTCAACTCTTTTCCTTGTTGCCCTTTGAAAAAGAAGAGATTAGAAGCCATGATGACGCGTGCGGAGAAGCCATTTCACTTGTTCTCCATCATTCGACCACGTGGTTGGCGGCATCCCAGGGCTCAAAGGAAGCTAAACTAGGCGCTAAAGGGAATGTTGTGCGCAACAGCCGGCGGGGTGTGATACACATGGGCTAATAAGCACATGTCACTCGAGACAGCCGTACGCGTCGTGTTGGCCTCTCATCAGTACGTACCGACGTGCGGCTGAGGGGCATTGCAGCCCAAAAATTCAGGGCTCGACGTACCCCGGCATTATTACACAATCAACTCCCTAAAGCCTCGGCTTCCTAGCCCTATGTATTGATTCAGCCGCACGAAGGATCTCCGAGATCTGCTCTTCCTTCTCTTTCGAGTCTTTATTTTTAACAACGTCACCCAGCTTAAAACGTACCCCGAGTCTGTTCTCAATGCCAAAGGCCCAGGTCGCTCCCTGTATGGCGCACGTCTCGGTCCAACGCCGTAATTATTTTGCTTTTTCTCTCTTGGTTCGTTGGTTTGTGGCGTCTGCTTTCCCTCCCAGACCGCGGAATAATGCCCTAAATTTGTTTCGGCCGGGCCTCATTGGTCTAGATGCGCGCTGTTCAGTTTCTTAAGCATGCATCCATAAGACCATCCATTGTTAGCACAGGCCAACGGTGTGAACGGTCATTTTGATGGCATAACTAGAAAGGTAACGGCGCGGTTTCGGAGCTGAAGAACGCCGTGAAATCCGGCGTGTCTGTTGTGGAGCTTGGATAGGAAAATCTTGGGAGGGGTTCGTACACGAAGGAAGAAAGGGGCGCCGAGCGGACTACGCGTGAAAAGTGCCGCGATAGGTAGAGAAGAAAGCTAGGGGTCACGAATAGTGTACTTCCTTCCTTAAACCACTCTGGTTTCCTCTCATGGTTCGCTGTGTAGCCTTCCAATTGCTGACTCGCAATTGAACAGCGGACGAGTCATAATGACTGCATCTTGCATGATCTCCCGGACGCTACTGTTTTGCATGGCAGTAGCCTCACCCACTCGCTAGTGCCAATGTCAATGGGGTAGCGTGCAGAAAAATAGATGCGCCAGCCGAGACATACATACCACGCTTCGCCGGTTAGGTCCGAGACGCGCGCGCCTGAGATCCTAGGTGGTGTAGTGCGAGCACAAGCAGTGGACAAAGTTTCGTCAAACAACCTCGGGATCGGCATGTTCCTTTTTCCAAAGTATGGTTCTTGTGATACCAACTCCGCAGGGCCGAGTAAACGAAGAGCCGTCCATACGTACCTGTTGCCCATGGCGCTGGAATCTTGAGCTAACTGCTGCAGCGCACCCCATTTCGCAATTGATCCAGTAAGCTTACCCTAGAACGGAAACAAGTCGAGACATAGGGCTTAGGCCAAAAGGAAGGCGGCAGGGAGAGAAGGAAGTAGCACCGGAACACGCGCCTAGCTCCGACAGGTACACGGCAAAATGTTCCGGCTTGAGAGAGCGATCCTTGAGTTCCAGCCCTGCAGCCACGCGAGCCGTTGAGATCGAAGAGCCACAAAATGTGGCTTGCCGTGCACCACCGTTTGACGGGTCATTGGCTCGTTCCGGGATGCATCTCATCAGGGCCGGGCGGTCGGCTTCCAGGGTGTTCCTTCGCGGTTCCAAGTAGCGGTCTGTCTGGGGGTCGCCTTCACGCGGTACACTAACGGCTGTTTTCCAACGTGGTCGCAGGCCATCAAGGTGATCTCCGTGGCCGTAAGGAGGGCAGCAAGGAGGCGCGGGAGCACAGCAGCACAGACGCGCGCATAGAGCGGATGACATTGTCGCAGTTGCCGCGGTGCGCGTGAGGTGCAGAATGCGGTTGCTCAATTGATGCGCTTCAGCTGGCGGCGCAGGTTGCAGGCGCTGTTCAGGCTGAGGGTGAAGCAGCGGTGGTCGGCGCTATGTCCTTCAGGGCGCGTGATTGGCTGCAGGGCGTCTGGGGCAGCGCTGGTCGCTGGCTGCATTGGTGTGTGCGACAATGGGTGGGTTGTGATGCAATATCTTCAGGAGATGGAAGGGGCCGTGCGCGGGACGGGGCAGGCAGATTCCCTGTCGCTGGCGTGCAGCGGGAGATGGAGAGTGGAGACGGCGTGGGTGGTGGAGCAGGCGCGGGATTCGGAGGAAGCAGCTATGGGCAACGGCGTATGCGCGCATGGCGTGAGGTGCAGGCGGGCTGGACGTGTGCCGACCGAAGCGGAAAGGGCGCAGCTGCCTTGCTGCGTGCTGGTGGGAGGAGGCGCGACTCTGGCCTGGGGTCGCACGGCAGTTGCAGTCTTCAGGACGGCCGTGGTGGGGCGTGTAAGCTTAGCCATTAGCAGCGCCGGGAGCCGGGGCGGCGGGGAGAGAGCATGCTCTCCGCGCGTGGCTCGCAGCCGACGTCCGCAGCGTGGCCGATCGGCGCGTCGGGATCCGCGGCGGCGGCGGGAATAAGGCGGACTCCTCAGCGCGCCGGCCGCGGAATCGCTGGGCGGGCGGGCGGTGCTGGCTGCGCGGTGGTGGTGCTGGCTAGCGGTGCTGCGAAGAAAGCCATATCGGCGGCGGTGGGACTCGCAGGGAGCGCGCACCGCATCGGCTGCGGCCGGCGAAAACAGCATCTGCGAGCATGAGAATGCCATCATGCGGCGTTGACGGCCGTGTCCCGCGCGCCTTGGCGTGCCCCGTTCGCCAAGTGGCAGGCTGCGCTCCCCCGGCCGCGGTCGGCCAAGCGCATGCATGCAGACGTCAACCGGCTCGCCAACGACAGCCGCCGGGCGAGCCTCCGAGCTCGTCGCAGCGCTCGCCCTACCTCCGCGCGACGCGGTGCGGTCCGCGATGGCGCACGTCGCCACGCGACGAGCCTCATCAGGGGAACCATGGGCGGTGCAGAGATTTTCGAGCGGCGCGCGCGCTGGTGCTTCCGGCGCCGGTGGATCCCAGCTGGGCGCGGCAGTTGACACCCATCATTAGCGGCCAAGGGCGGGGAGACTGCCCGCGCCCGATCGAGATGCTGCCTGCCCGTTGAGAGCTCCCGTGCAATGCCATGCCACAGAAATGCGACAGCCCTCCCCCCGCCGCCTGCAGCAGCCGGCCTGCCTGTGGCTGGATGCCGCCGCAGGGGCTGCCGCGATGCCCTCCGTCCAAGCCTCGAGAAACGCTTCTCCCGTGCCCGTGCCGAGAGATGCACTGGTTGGCCGTGAGAAACCTCCGCCGGTGCAGCGCCCGCCATCGTCGCTCTAGGTCGCCTCTCGCACGCTCGCCACGGTCCGTCCGCAGGCGTGTATAAAATGGGTTTTGCCTCCGGCGGCCCAGCCCAGCTCCCGCCTCTCGGGGCCATCTCGCTTTGAGACGTCACGTGAATTCCACGGAGATTCCTCCTCTTCCCCGACCTTTCGTCACATTTGCTAGCTCGAGCGCCTGGGTCAAGAATCCGGCCCTGGCCCTCGCCGCGTGCACGTTGCGGCTGATATAAGGCCTCAGAACATCCTGAAACTTTCCCGCCGCCGCCTGCCCCATAAGTCGCCGTCAGCAGAGCCCCCTTCCAAACCAGGCATCGTTTCCAAACGCTCGCCAAAAGGCTGGCACGCCTCTCGTCCGATCGTCCTGGGAACCTCGTGATTCCGGCGACCTTCGTCCCCTTCGGCTCCGAACTTGACATGGCCGCATTTCGTGAACTGCGCCCCTCTTCCGACCACGTTCACCCCGAAGAGGCCCAACCCTCGTCAGCGGCCAGCAGTGAGGCTGGCGGCACCAATGACCCGCACTCGGCCAATCCCACCAGGGTGAGGAAGCGCAGGGCCCCAACCCACGTGTCTCAGAACGCGTGTACCAACTGCAAAAGAGCCAGAGCAAAGGTATTGCCCCCCATCCTTTCCGCCGCATCCGCCTCGCCGTCAGGAGGCCGAGCATTGATTGACCCGTCTCCGCTAGTGCGATGGACAAGAGCCGGAGTCATGCAGCAGGTGTCGGACGCGTGAGATGGGTGACCAATGCCATTATGAGGTGCACGTCAAGACGGCCAAGGAGGAGATGGTCCGTAGGATCAAGAGCCTCGAGCAGCAGAATGCGGAACTCCTGGGTTCGGTCAAAGAGAGAGACGACCAGATCGAGGCCATTTTCGAGGCATTGAGAGCTGACGAGCGCGGCTCTGAGGTCATCGCACGGCTGCGAGCCGGGCAGTCCTACCAGGAGTTCGTTGCCTGGCTTGGTGGTCCTTCTGTAGGCGACGATGGACGGTCGTCACCGGGTTCCGAAACCAGCATGCCGGATGTCGCACAGGATTACGACGAAGCGACGCGGATGCATGTCGGTTCGCGGTCGCCAGATGGCGACTCCCGCTCGCGATGGACTTTTTCCAGCCCCCAACTGACGGATCATCTCATCGCATTGTTCTTCACATGGGTGCACCCCATCCACATGCTGTTCAGCGAATACCACTTCATGAAAAGTTTTAGTGACGGCGACCGTAACTATTGCTCACCGGCTATGGTCAACATGATGTGCGCCATGGGCTGCCATTACCACACCGATCGGTCCGGCGACGCAAGACAGACCAAACTTCTCCAGAAACGGTTCTTTAACACGGGCCTTGCGGAAGTTGCAAAAGAGGATCCGAAGTCGTTGACAAGTGTGACGACATATGCGCTCCTCTTCCTGGTCGAACTGGGTTCCAATCAAGCGCGAAATGCGTCATCTCACTTGCGGCTGGCAGCCGAGAGCCTCGCTGCATTGAATAGAGCCGCTTTCGCCGCAATTGCCACCGAGATAACAGAGAGGGGCATCCATACTCTATGCGCGTAAGTTCAGTGCTTTGGCGATGATCAGTATTCAGTAGCTAATTTCTCGCTGAAGACTCTGGGTGTCACTCACATACCAGAAGCCTATGTCGGCGCTTTCCACGTCCCATACACTCAGCCCGGCAGAGATTCTCAGAAGCGATGGATATTGGCAACCGTATCGCTACTTCCAGGACAAAAGAACACGACAAGTTCCGAGCCAGGCGATTGCAACAGCCGACGCAATGACGAGACTCGGGCAAATAATACACGATATGGTCGGGGTGTACTGCGGACGTGATGACAGCGTAACGGCTCGTTCTGTGATCATCTTGTGCCGCCGGCTCTACGATTGGAAGCGAAGACTCCCAGTTGCGCTCGAGGTTACCGGCGACGGTGTGCCGCTATCACACCCGCTGCCGCACGTTCTCTCTCTTCAGTGAGTCGCTGCGTTGCGACAATTGGAGTACGGTTGCTGACCGGTCGATAGTATTCATTACCACGTCGCCCTCTGTCAACTGTACCGGCCGATACTCGAGCTTGCCGACCTCCCAGAAACCATTCGAGCACAACTGTTCGGCATCACGATCTCAAGCGCGCTGGAAGGCCTCCAACTTCTAGAGCGGTACAGGAGCTTGTACACCCATAGGTACCAGAGCCCACTGCTGGCATTCTGTGTCATTCACGTCTGCGAGACGTTGCTGCGGGCAGGCAGAGATCAGAGGCGGGTAGTGCAGTTCGCTTTCGAAGCCACCCATGAATCCCTTGCCGGGTTCGCTTACGTTGGTCCTCTCCAATTCATACTCTGCCAGACGGCAGACGAAGAGGGCATCAGTTTGCCGGATGATGTTCGACAGCTGATGGGCGGACGCACGAGCTACGGGCCTGAGGAGATGCTTGACGCGTGTGAGAGAGTAACGTTTACGCAGCCCTACCAGGTGCTCCGACATCGCGTGGACCGTAACCTAGGGGTTGAGTTCGAACGAGAGTGGAAGCAGGCCTTTCTGGTCGAGGCCCATGGCGCAGCAGGGACCAGCCAGTGGGTCGGTGGAGGGACGGGATCGCGAGAGGCTGGACTAATGGCGCAGCGGTCCGAATCAACCAGCAGCTCTGCGTCCGGTGGCAGCAGCGCGCGGTCGATGCAAATCAACTCGGTGGTCAATCCGTAATAGCTGATACCCTTTAAACTCTTTCAATTTTCTTGGACTGCTTCCAGAAACGCAGTGGACGTATGCAGCCGGATGGCAGCGAAGGCGCGCGGGAGCGAGGTGTCAGCATGGGGCGACGGGCATCGAATGAGGTCAGGCTCTCGAACGGCTGTGGGGGAATGCATAGGCTGTTTCCGATGGCTTGGCCGCCTCTGATCGAGGCTGATGGCTTCCCGAGCTTGCGGGACTATCACCACTAGCGGGCCCTCATTGCTCCTATCGGGCAGAGCAGCACGGTGCGGCACAGCCGTATCGAGAAATTCCGTGGGAATCGGGCTGACTAAGGCTGAGACGACGACGGCGACGACGGTGCAGTGCGGTGGACAGACGGGCAGTGTGACCGCGGATGCACCAAGGTGGAGAGAGTTTTATGGGAGGAGAGAGGAAGAGGAGCCAGCTAATTGCAAGCGCGCTGGGCGGCCGGATGAATCTCCGACGAGGATCCGCGCACAGCACGAATCGGGAAGCAGCTTCCACCTACTTCCCGCCCCAGCACACGTCCCGGCCACGAGCTATCACTCCGGCTCTTAGCCTCTCCGCTGTGGACACAGCCTAGGCCTTTGTACGTGTGGCGATTCGAAGTACACTTGCGAGTGCGTTGCGTCCACTGAGCAGCAGCATCCAGCCGGCCCCTGATTTGCCCGATGCCTTGCATCCCCCGTCTGCCCGCCGTTGCTACCTCCGCTCCATGCCCTTGTCATGCTGCCCGTCCTCTGATCCCATCGATCGCGTTATGCCCGCCTTCATCTCTACTGCCCCTCATCTGTTCCCCCCGTTTCGCCCCCTCCAGCTTCCCTTGTCGCGTGCGGGCAACCTTTTCCCGCCAGGGCTCAGCACACTTCGTTCGTATCCGGACACGAAACACTGCCCAGGTTATGCTTAGTTGCACTGCCGGCTGTGCGTTGGGACGAAAGTACCTGCAGTGTGTCGGCATTGCACATGCAGCCGGAAAATCAATTGGCTCGCAGTCATTCGTCACATGCTGCGAGGGCATTATTGCCCTTACTTGTGTACATGCATTTCCATCAGAAAAGCGCAAAAAGCAACGATGGAGATGATGCCAAATTCCTTCTTTCCGAGAGGGGATATCTGGACATACGTACCCCTCCCCATCACGATGCATAGACATCGCGCACATTATGACGGTGCCCGCATCCCGCGGGTCGCGGGTAGCGCGTGGCATGCGTTTCGACTCAAGCAGTATTACGACAGCCGTGCGTCTAAGACACATCCATAAAGCACATATTGACATTCAAGTCATCGTGGAAATACGAGAAATGGTTTTCTTGCAATTCTTTTGCAACTATGGCAAGTTGAGCATTTCAGCAATGGCCTCCCTGGGCGTGAATCCATACCAGGAGCATACAGCAAAAAAAGATCGGGTGAATGTAGCCCCATGACTCAAGGCGCGGACGCTACGGGGAACGCAGACCCGCAGGGATTTGAGGATACCTGACAGGCTGCTGCCTACCCCGCTTGAACCCGAGTGTCTGTCTCCATTTTTGCAGTTATCTTTAGTACATCAGTCGTTTGAGATATCGGGTCCATTGCCAGAACCCAATGCATGATTACCCCTCTAGAGCAAGTCCCTGGTGTTCTCCGTAACCTTTGGCGCTGTTGGCTATGTTCGCTGAAGCCGATATCACCACAAAGTATCGGGCCATCGATGCATGCAGCAAGATCCAAAAGCGTCTTAAAGAGCTGCTGCGGGCTGTGTGGTGCCAAGCCTTTGATCGAGTTGATCGTAGTGCAGCAGGAGCTCCCGCTTGAGCAGATTCGCCCGTTAGCATGCTTTACAGCGCACTAGAGATTGGTGGACCACTTACCCTCTCCCTCCTCCAGTTGTTGACATCGAAGAAGATGTAGCAGCCCCGCTCCGACTTCTCACTAATGCGCTGCGGCTGCGGGAAGCTAGTGTCCTTCATCATCCATTGCCGGAGATCCTTGTGCCACCTCCAATCGCGATTGAACCTACGTCATCTATTAGCATAGATCGAGGCATCGGTCCGCCGTAAAGCCTTTTGCATCCACTTACAGCTCCTGTGCAGCAGCCTCTTGCAGGATGTCCCTAGGGTACTGGTAGAAGATCGCGAAGAGAGTCTCATCGGAAAAGCTTGGCATTTTCGTGTGCAACGGAGGTACGTTCGTGACGGTGTAGGCAGCAGGTAAGCTAAAGTCAGGGATAACCGGACGCGAGCCAGCTTCCGCGAAAGGCGAACCGAAGGTAGGATACAGAGGAGAGTTGTCAGGCCGGTTGAGATCCAAACCCAAGACAGTCAAGTCTTGGCCTACAGCAAGGCTGGAGTGGTCTTGACTGTCGGGTGGAATCATGGCGAGCAAGCCGGGAAGTCCGAAACGGTCGATTTCGCTCATCTGGGACAGGCGCGTCTGCTCGGGATGGGAGATGGAGCCTGGTTTCGAAGGCGGCTGAACAGGCTGGCTACCAAACGAGGTGGTGCTGGCCTCCCTAGCTCTTCGCTCCGCCTACTCAGAGGTCAGTGAACAGGCATTACTGTCATCATCGGCTTAGTACTCACAGCGGTCCTATCATCCCGCAGCACGGTGCCGCCTATCCTCTCGCTCACGGAGTCTTGCTGGCTCTCCACAGGGCTGCCCATGCCGTTGCGGCCTTGGTGCACACTGTTGCCAAATGGACTACCCCCACCTCCTCCATATGCTGCGTTCTGAATCATGCCCGTCCGCCTATCTTGGCCCATATCTCCTCCACCGCCGCCTCCTAGAGGCGGGAACTCTTCAATGTTCACCTGTTGCTGTTGCTGAGGAGCTCCCGATAATTGTCCGACGCCAGACTGACCGCCAAAGCGATAGTCATCCATTGCGCCGCCGTATTGAGAATGTGCCGAAGAAGGCTCGTCCTGGCTCCGCTGTTGGTGCTCTTGCTGCGGCCGATTTGCTTGCGCGGAAGGGGGCTGAGGAGTGGCGCCTTGGCCTTGCACGCGTTGCACTGGTGTGTGTTGGGCCGTCCTGATGTTCGGGTTAGACCATATCGCCTGGGCTTGGCTGTTCTGCTGTTGCGTCTGAGGAGCTCCGGAGAGGGAGGGAAACTCCCTAGAAATGCGAGATCTTTTCGTTAGTCGACTTCTCCGTCGCATTCGCAATTATTCATGAGGGTGGGTCTTGAGGGGGAGCATACGAAGGATCCAGAGGAGTGTGCGACTGAGACCCGCCTCCTATCGTCTGGGCAAAGCTGGACATGCCCGCCGCGTTGCGCGACTGGACACCCGAAAGACCAGGTGCGCCTCCCATGGGACCTCCAAACCCCCAACCAGACCCGTTACCTACGAGTAATGCGGATTAGCCGCCGATCGCTGAGAGAGGGAGTGCATTCTACCAAGCTTGCCGCCTTGCAGCCGGCCAGATTGCAAAGGTGCACCACGGCCGGCGCCTGTCTGTTGCTGCTGGAACATGCTGCCAGGCATGTTGCGTAATTGTTGCGGCCCTGCTCCTATTTATTTTACCGCGTCAGCATCAATCCCTGCTCTTGATATCGGATCCGCCGAGTCGTGGTGTTTGCCATCGTCATGCCCTAGGCCCCATGCTGGGAAGCAAGGAAGGCTGGAAATTTCAGATGCCCGGGCATCGCGAACCTCAGAGCTTCTGGCGGCGATGTGCACGGCGACGGTCCAGCGTTGGGTGCAACAGGAGCTTTGCGACGAGCGGAGGGCGAGGCAATGCGGCGGGGAGGGTCGGGCAGCGGTCGAGGGGACAAACCTGGCCGGTTCATGCTTGCGGGGTGAGACGACCTGCAGCGGTGCAGCGCTTGTGTGTCGATGTAGGTATGGCGGTGTTCAAGGAAGGTGCGCGGCGTTGGAGTCCGGAGCAACAGGCGTTGTTGACGTTGCTGGGCGCGGCCTTTGGAGGCGGTTCGTTCTGATGCGAGGCCCCGGCACTTGCCAGCCCGGCGGTTGCAGTTGCGGATTTTCCGTGCAGCTGCTCGACCATCTTTCACCCAGCACCGCGTCTTCCAACCCACGCCCCGGCCAATTGACCCACAGCGCGAACTATTCTGCGCGTGCCGTCCACCATGAACGTCCGCTCCGTCGCCCGCCTCTCGCTACACGCTCGGTCTGCTGCAGAACCGTTCCTGCCGTCACTCGCCGCTTCTAACTCACACCTCCCGATAACTCAGCACCGATGCGTCCACGATAGAAACAAGAACCGCGGCGTCTCTGCACTAAGGAAGACTGGCCTTCGCCCGCGACAGACACTTGCCATGAACAAGGAGAAACTCCCTGTCCCCAGGCCCGTAGCCCAGCGACCCAAAGCGCCGGTCCATCCAGACCATGGCCTATGGCAATTCTTCAATGCAGACAAGAAACTACTCGCAACACCCGAGGAGGACATGGCATTCGGTGCGAGATACAGATTGTCACGGGGATAATAGCATGGGCTGATCTTTTGCAGGCCGGGCGTGGACAGTGCAAGAACTACGGCAGAAGTCGTGGGAAGACCTGCACCGTCTTTGGTGGGTCTGCGTGAAGGAGCGCAACCGTCTCGCGACAGCGGCCTACGAGCGCAAGCGCATCAATGCAGGCTACGGCGAGTATGAGGCAGAGGCGCGAGATAACGAGGTACGTCACACTGCAATGACCGCCATCAAGCACGGTCACCCCAGCTTTGCACGGTCTCGTATTCGTGCAATATTGCACGTACCAGAATATTGCCTAAATGGGACCAAAGCTATCTCCCCAGGCGAAATGGGCTTCGCTGACGAGCCTCCAACATAGGTCAAGCTCACGATGCGTGCAATCAAGCACACGCTGGCGGAGCGGTGGTACGCTTGGGAGAATGCGCGGCAAGAGGCCATGAACGACGCGGAGATCGACCTGTCAGGCAATGGGCCGGCTTACAGTCCTGCTGTTGAGGTACGTGTAGCCCATGCACCCAATGAATCGTGTGCTGACGGAAGGCGAAAGGACGCGTTCCAGAGCGAGATTGAGGAGAAGGTTGACGAGGAAGCTGTGGCGGATGCGGCAAAGAACAAAGCGACAAGACAACGACAAGGCGAAGCAGGATCTGGAGCGCAGACGGAGTAATAATTGGGAGCGGTGCCGCACGGAGGGCGGGCGGGGCGTACGGCGATCCGCAGAGCAACCCCGCGAAGGTCACGGGGCTGCGAGCGCATCTGGGAGCGCGAGGCGCGGCGGGAAGCTGTGTACATCATTTGTAGAATACCAGTTGTGGCCTGTCTAGTTGATTGTGAGCTGATGGTGCGGGCGGCCTTCAGGGATCTTGGCGTCGAGGGCGGGCCGCGCAGCAAGCACGAGCGGTGGCTCAAGCTCGCCGCCCCCCCTCAATTACCATTCACCGCCCACGACCACCGGCGCACCCTCTTGAGCCGACTCCTATATCTTGCACACCCAATCCTCTCTTCTCCTCCCTAAGCCCATTTTCACACAACATAGCCCATCATGGAAGAAGTCGCCCCCGAGTATGATGTCGTCGTCCTTGGCACCGGTATGCACTTACCCCGCGCCAGCTCGCTGCCAAACGGACAGCTAACACGGAGATACAGGCCTGACGGAATGCGTGTTGTCTGGGTACGCACACTTTGAGATGATGCTTGGAGCATCTGCTAACGGCCCACAGTGTCCTGAGTGTGAAGGGCAAGAAGGTCCTGCACATGGACCGGAACGACCACTATGGCGGGTGAGCTGGCATCCCTGAGCCTGTATAGCAGCAAACGTACTGACAACTGGCAGTGAGGCTGCGTCCCTGAACATTGAGGCGGTACGTTCCCGCATCCCGAACCCCGCAACCCCGCTGAATGCTTACGCCGAGTAGATGTTCAAGAAGTACGGCAACTACACCGAGGGCGAGAAGCCGTGGGAGAAGTACGGCCGCGTCAACGACTGGAACATCGACCTTGTGCCCAAGCTGCTCATGTCGAACGGCGAGCTCACCAACATCCTCGTCTCGACCGATGTTACCCGATACCTCGAGTTCAAGCAGATTGCTGGCAGCTTCGTCCAGCAGGGCAAGGGCCCCAAGGCCACCGTTGCCAAGGTCCCCTCTGACGCTGGCGAGGCTCTGCGCTCGCCGCTGATGGGTCTCTTCGAGAAGAGGCGTGCGCGTAGCTTCCTCGAGTGGGTTGGTTCCTACAAGAAGGAGGACTCCGCCACCCACAAGGGTGAGTTGCCATTGCCCCGCAATCCTTCTTTCAGCTGGAACGCTAACGCCCCCAGGCCTGAGCATCGGCTCCTGCACCATGAAGGATGTCTACGACAAGTTCGGCCTCGAGGACTCTACCCGCGACTTCATTGGCCACTCCATGGCTCTGTACCAGACCGACGAGTACATCAACGCCGCTGGCGGGGCCGACGAGACCATTGAGCGCATCAGGCTCTACGTCAACTCGATGGCTCGCTACGGCAAGTCGCCTTACATCTACCCGCTCTACGGTCTCGGCGAGCTTCCCCAGGGTTTCGCTCGTCTGTCCGCCATCTACGGTGGTACCTACATGCTCAACGCCGATGTCGACGAGGTCCTGTACGAGGACGGCAAGGTCGCTGGCATCAAGGCTACCATGAAGGAGAAGGACGCCCCCGGCGAGGGAATGAAGTTCACTACCAAGTGCAAGAAGATCCTTGCCGACCCCAGCTACTTCCCCCAGAAGGCCAAGCCCACCGGCCACCTTCTGAAGGCCATTTGCATCCTCAACCACCCCGTTCCCGGCACTGAGGACTCCGACTCTCTCCAGCTCATCATTCCCCAGAGCCAGGTTGGCCGCAAGAACGGTACGTAAAACTGCAGATGCCGCCAAAACACTGCTAACTCGGGTCATTCAGATGTCTACGTTGCCGTTGTCTCCTCGGCGCACAACGTCTGCCCCAAGGGCTACTACATCGCCATCGTCAGCACCATTGCTGAGTCCGACAGCAACCACCACCTCGAGCTCGAGCCCGGCTTCGAGCGCCTGGGCAAGATCGAGGAGAAGTTCATGGGCCCGCCCATCCCTCTGTACGAGCCCATCGAGGACGGCACCAACGACAACGTCTTCCTCTCGAAGAGCTACGACGCCACCAGCCACTTCGAGACTACGACGGGTAAGTTCACGATTACTAAGTCTGCTTTAGCGACTCGAAGTGCTAACGTCATATTGCAGATGACATCAAGAACATCTACAGGAGGGCCGAGGGCGAGGACTTGGTCGTCGAGGGCCTGAGGGAAGTCCAGGTCGCCGCGGAGGAGTAAACATCTTTAGGGGTAAAGGGGTCATAGGGGCTGGCAGCCATAGAAGAATTAGGATGTACATGGAGATCATAAGACTGCCAATACTCCAATAGGGAATCAATTTTACGTCGCATACATAATCAAACACGATACCTATCAGTTGAGAAAAGTGACGGCTTTCGCCTTCTCATATCGCCCAAGCTTCCATTATTATGACCACGTTTACTCTCCGACTCGGAGATTGGGATATCATGCAATATTACATACCCCTTTTTTTGCCGACCCAGACCGTTCCATCCGAATTTCTCAAAAAAAAAAATATTCCTCACATCTGATGAGCAATCCACTCCCACCAGCCTTTGACGTCGGGGCCATCACCATCTTCTCCCTTGACGCTTCCTCCCACCACCTCCACGGGCACGTTCATCTCCTCCATATGCTTGAACTCGAATTTGCTCTCCCCACCTAAACCAAGCCATTCGTGATCCTCGCCCACGCTGTCTTCACTCATGCCGACGTCTAGGATGCCCTTGGCCCGAGCAATCCGTACCTTCTCAATCTCCTGCTCGAGGTGCGCGCGCACCAGCTGAGGCGGCAGCGCGGTGAACAGGTCGAGCTTGTTGGCGGCGATCAGGACGGGCGTGACGGCGGTGGCCTTGCTCGTCTTGGCGCTGGTGTAGCGCTTCTGCAGCGTGAGCAGGACGTCGTGCAGGAACTCGGCGGCGTCGGACAGGCCGGCGGGCGAGGCGAGGGCGGCGGCGTCGACGAGGAAGACGACGCCGCGCAGGTTCTTGGCCGTGGGCGCGGCGAGGGCCGCGGCGAAGGCGCCGCCGCGCAGCTTGCCGTGGCCGGGCGTGTCGGTCAGCGAGAGCTGCCGCGTGCGGACGTTGGTCGGGTCGTTGACGCTGCGGTAGCGCGCGCTGAAGGGGACGAAGGCTTCGGGCAGCGCGAGGATGCTGCGGTGCGAGGTCTGCGAGGGGTGCGTGGCGAGGGGACGGCCTGTTTCGAGCTGTGGTGGACGGTGAGTGGTTAGTTGATGATGCAATTGGTGACTGTGCCTTTTTTGGTGGAGAGGTTCAAGGTGGGGATTTTGCGCGCGTATACGTACAGCTGTGAGCAGAGATGTCTTGCCCGCGCCGCTGGGCCCAGCGAGCACGAATGCGGCGGTGTTGATGGGCGTCCGGTGGCGGTATAGCCACAAGTGGAGCAGTAGCGGCAGACCAAAGGCGACGACTAGGGTGAGCAGAAAGGTGCTCAGATGGGCGTCGAACAGCTTGGTCAGCCAGCTGTCCGGCTCATACCACTCGACCATGGCTGCTGGGGGGCGGAGTCAAGCGATGGAGATGACAAGGAGGTTGTGGCGAGAGGTGGGGAGACTTCCTCTCTCCGAACAGCCCGCGGGTTTTGTACTGCGTGGATGCTGCGGTCTTCGGAGCTGGCAATGCGGTAGCTAGTGCAAGGTGTCGACGTCGGTGCGCCGGGCGGTGAGCGGCGGTGGGCCGTGGGAAAATGGCCTGCTTTCCCGCAGGCTGCTTCCGCCTTCCGCTCTGTTCTTCACTCTTGTTGGTCGCGTCTAGTAACTGTTTTAGACCCCTCGTGGCTTCATTATGGCGCGGGATTATCCCGGCACTGTTGAAACACGACGTAGCTCATGCTGGAATTCGTTTGGGCACGCATGCGACGGAATGGACGTACTTCACAACCGCCCGAAAAGGAAAGCAGCTAGCTTTTACTGACATCATTTCTCGTCATGATGCTCCCTTCGCTTTGCACGCGATGAATATTTTACGTTGATTCCCATTTCTTACGGGAGCCAGATCAGAAATCTTCTTTTCCTGCACGCAGAAATATAGGACCATGCCGCTTCTCGGTAACAACACGTTTGATCCCAACAAAGACATTCCTGACCTTACCGGCAAGGTACACTCAACTTCTATTCCTCCTATATCTACTCACTATTAGCTGTAAAATCATGCGTGATTTTACAGTAAAACACATTTGTGAAGCTGGGGCTTCAATGACTCCTGCATCTTTTCCTTTATCACCTTTTTTTTTTAAAAAAAAAAAAAACAATCAAAACAACATTACACTTGTTCTACTATAAAGCGCTTGGAAATACTAATACTTATGATTCCTGCTAGATTTATGCTGTCACCGGTGGCTCGGCTGGTATCGGTTTCGGAATCGTTGCCCATCTCCTTCAGCACAATGCATCCAAGATCTATCTGTTGTCCAACAAGGAGCAACATGCAGAAGAAGCCCAGGAAGAGCTCAAAAAATACGGCGATACCACCAGAGTCGAATGGAAGAAATGCAACCTCGAAGACTTGAAAGAAGTTGACGCGGTTTCGAAGGAGCTCTCGCGCCTGGAGAAGCTGGACGGCCTGATTCTTAACGCTGGGTTGGGTGTAGGCGTCTACAATGAGACCAAAGACGGCATCGGTAAGTTATGATCAATGAAGCCTCTTTAGTTCACATCAGCCGTTTACAGCCTCCGTATAGACTCCCACATGCAAGTTAACCATATCTCTCAATTCCACCTCGCCATGGTCCTCCTCCCACTCCTTCAGCGCACACCCGACAGTCGCCTTGTCCTTCAATCGTCCGAAATGCATAAAATGGCCGACGCATCGATGAAGTTCGCCTCTCTCAAGGAGATCAACACCGACATTGGCGCTACCAAGCTCTACGCCCGCACAAAGCTTGCCCAGATTCTTTTCGTGCGCGCACTTGCCCGCCACGCCGCTAAGAACGAGCTCGGCTTCCGCCAGCAGGGAATGTCGACCGGCCCGTGGATCATTGCCACGCACCCAGGTGCCGTGAAGACGGACCAGCAGGACCAAGCGGCTGAGGCGTACGGAACCATGGGCAAGGTCGGTGTTGCGGTGGTGCGGCCGTTCATGAAAGATCCGGTCGACCAGGGGTGCCGCTCCGCGTTGTTCGCAGCGACGAGCGAAGATGTGATGCGTGAGGGGATGCAGGGCGTGTACGTCGTGCCGGACCGGAAAGTGGAGGAGCCGAGTGACTTGGCGAGGAATGAGGATTTGAGTGAAGCTTTGTGGCTTTTGACGGAAAAAGTGCTGATGGATAAGATCGGTCCACTGAGCTACGGGCCAGTGCACATTGATAACCTTGCCAAAGAAGGTTTACACGGAGCGAGGGAGTAAAATTAAAAGCCGAGAGATAAGCATATCATGCGAGTATGAATGGTACAAGCACTGAAGGATAATATGTAGGAGTGATAAGCAAGTCTTCGCGTAACCTCACTTTCGGTCTATGACGGGGATGACCTATTGCATGCGGTCTATTCCCACAGACAGCTTGTGATGAGGTTGTCAAGTCGAGGTTCGAGGCCGGCTACAGAAACAGGAAATCCTCATCGAATTTCGTCTGACTGACATTCTGCTTCACAGAAGTTTAGTTTTGCTGCTTAAAAATGGGTATTAGAGCCAAAGGCTAATGCGGAGAATAACACGCTCTCAGAACTGGGGCGACTATTGCAGCACCACGGTATGCTTTAGTAGAAAATAACTTCAAGGCAATTGAAGCTATCGTTTAGACGTAATGTATAATTGTAGAAATCTCGTGCAGTCACTGGATACACTCATCGTATCCTACTGAATTTCGTGTAGTGTACGGTATGGACTATTAGATATTAGGTTTTGGGAGTCTGTTGAGTCATTATCATCCTGCTCTGCCAACTCAAGCAGGGTATTCATGAAGCCCAAGAGTAACACCTCAACGCCAGTCTAATTATGCTCTCATCTCAAGATCAAATATGCAAAAGACAAAGTACGGAATGGAGCAGTGTCAATCGGTACCCAAAATTGATCGTCCGACCGTCGTAGCTCATACCGTAAAGTGGTAGATGCGTGCGCCGCATTTTGCTAATGGTGGTCTTGTGTAAGCAGGCTGTCATGTGCTGCCAATCCTGGTGATCATTCCCCCTTTCCCTCATCGCCTAGAAGAAATCGGTCTATTGTCATGCAGACGCAAGCGATGCCAATGTGGTCACGGTCACTCATTGGCGCACTCCGCACACGCGTTCACTCTAACCTTCCCATCAACTCTCTCCTGACGCGCAGATTCACCACGCCTCCACACCCGAACGCCGGCACAATCCTCGCCATTCTCGCCAAGCAGCTCATGCCCCAGTCGCTTGTGACCTTGCTCAAACGCTGCGCGAAGCCAACGCCGGGCGAGCCGCGCGGACGATTGTATAGGTCCAGGCCGAGCAGGTGCAGCGGCGTGCTGAAGATCTGCACCGCCGCCGGCGCCACGAACTGCGCCGTACTGGCCGCATCGACGTGCTTGCGGAGCGCGTCGCCGAGCGCGCCCGTCGTGCGCTCGATGCGGGAGGCCAGGGCGGGGGCCAGCAGCGGCGGCACGTTGAAGCTCGCGAAGACGGTCAGGCAGTCGCGCAGTGCGAAGAGTGCGTACGTCGCCGACGGCACGGGTCGTGGTGTGGAGGTGGTGATACCAAACATCCGCGTGAAGCGGCTGTCCTTGTACAGGCAGAGCGCGAGGTTGGCGGTGCTGGTTGCGACGAATTTGGGGGCGCCGGCAGTAGTAGTAGAGGCGGGCGTGGAGTGCAGGACGGAGGTGGTCGTGTCGAGGGTGTTGGCGCTCAGGTAGGTTCCGGTATAGAGGGTAAAGATGAGGGCGAAGGGACGGGAGAAGATGTAGGTGTGCGGCCGCAGAAGCAAGGTACGGAGAGAGGTGAGAAGGGAGTTCCGGAGGGTGGTGCGGCCGGAGGCATTTTCGATGATGGCTCTATGGGAGGCGGGTTAGTTGTCTTTTTCGTCAAAGTCATCGTGGTGGATGGACATGGGTTGCTGTGCCGTACGCGAACCAGAGTGGCCTGATTTCCCCGGATTTGCACTTACCGATCGATAGCCGTTACGACGGGCGCCACAAGCATACCCGCACTGGCTGCCGCCGTGCAGTCGACGCCAATTCTCCACCCCAAGTTTTTGGTATTCCACGAACTGGCTGCTGTTGTTTTCATTTCTGGTGTTGTACCATTTGCGTCTGCAGCGGTGGAGACAGGACGGGAGGGTGAAGCAACGGCCCGCTGGTGATCCGCATCTGTTGCGTATCTTGCCGAACTGTGCATTCCTGGCGTCATCGGCGGCTGATGATGATGCGGCGCACTGCGATAGCTGTCGGGTGTCTCTCCTGCTTGCGCTTCTCTCATGTTGTCTTCTGAGATTTTGGGAACAAAAAGGTAACAGCCCCCAGGGGCGAGAGGTAAACTGATGCCTTAATGTACGGAACAGAAGACTGACAATCAGGCACGAGGGGCGCGGGTTGCATTGGTAAAAGGTGCGCTTTGAGAAGCTGCAGTGCTTCCCAAGCCACATGAATCATGCTCCTGTGCCCGTGTTTAAGCGGCCGATATCGGCCTGTGCCACCAATGTCTGGGACCAACTCGCGGGGAGCAATGCCCGTTTAGGCAAGCCTTCTCTCCCTGGTGTTCACAACGGTCCAGATGATGGAGAAATCCCGCGGAGTACTCTAATTTCGAATCGATATGCATCGTCGTGAGCAATATAACCATCTGCGACATTTGCTCAGAGGCTAGATTAGCCGCATGCTCGGGATCATCGACACATATGACACGTCCTGATATTTTACACCTTGGTTCATTCCAGAGCCGTACTTGCATTCTCGCGATAGACATGCATGACTACGCTATTCTTCTCCCGCAGCATCCTCCACACGCGGTAATTGCACAATCCAGTTTTCCCAGAACTTGATGCCATCCAGCCCTTGCTCTCGGCAAAGTACGCCCTTCTCCTCGGCCATCTCAAGCTCCTCTGTTGCCACACCCACACTCCAACCAAACCACTCCGCAGCCTCTTGCGCTGTGACTCCCCGTCCATATGTTTCCCAATCCCAGCCAGCTTCTCCAGGCGGAGCAGCAGTATGGAGCTCCTGGAGCCAGCTAAGCAGACTGGCTATCGTCTTTTCGTCTGTTCGATCGCGGCCTTGAACGACGAGAAGCCCACTCTTGAAACGCCGCAGACGAACTGGTAGCTTGAGTTTGTCCCACATCTGAGCGGCCTTCTCGAAGTCTGTGGGGCTCACCAGCTCAACACCCCCTCGAGCTCGGTTAAAGACGGCCCAGAGATCCACCAGGCTCATGATCCCACCCTCACGCTTTAGGATACCTTTTCTGTCGTCTGTCAAGAACTCTGCCAAGTTACGCGACAGCTCTGAAATATAGAGCGTGTCTGAACCGGAGCCCAGCATATCTTTTGTCGTGACCAGCCCCAATGCAGAGGCTGACTGGGCCAGAGCTGCGTCGGCTTCGGAATTTCCGTTCCCATTCAGATTCGCTTGGCTGGCAAACTGCTCCGCCAGAGCTATAATCTCCTTGGCCGAAGTCATTAAAGCCTCGAGGTCCTCAAAGGCACTGCCGATCATGATCTCATTGTTCTGACGCTGCTCAATGCCGCGACGCTCAAGACCTCCGATCCCGACCGCTTTGTTTCTGATCGGCAGATCACCAGAGCTCTGTGATGGCGAAGAGCTATCGATCGGCTTTGGGATAGGAGGGGCACTCTGCAGCAACCATTTCCTTTGTAGAAGAGCACCTTTCAGCCTTTCGAAAAATATCTTTTCTCCACCCGCACGGAAAGAGAATTTGATGCACTCTGGCACATCGTCGCCGATAGGGGCGCCACTGAGGACCGGTGCCGGCGACTCATTTCTGTGTATTGGGGAATGATTAAATTCCGCACGCTTGTCTACGGAGTTGACAAGCGAAGCACCACACATCTCGCAGCTCAACAACGACGGATGGTTTTGGAACGTGCATCTTGGACACTGAAAGGCAGCGGCTCCAGACGAGGTGCCGTTAATCCGCGCGCCTGTTGTCGAACCCCCGTACTCCGATGCACTTTGGCTGACTGGTGACTCAGCTTGGACTTGTCTGTTTGCTGCGATAGCGGCTTTGATAAGGTGTACAAGCGGAGGCTTCAAGCCGCAAGCCAAGCACGGCGGTAACGGCGTGTTGGCGTTTGCCAGCGCAGGGTCGAAGTTTGATGGCACAGGGTTTGAAAATGAGCATATCGGGCAGACCCATGTCGCGGAAGCGCTTGGAGGGGGTGCAGGTGCAGGCGGTAAGGGACGCAGAGGGCTGCCGTGGCGTGGCGGTGTTGAGGAAGGGCTGTACGCCGCGCTGCTGCTGCTAACCGGGGCTGGACTGCGGGTCGCCGCGAGATTCGGGCGTTTGTTGGGCTTGGGGTAGACGGTGACTTTGGGCGACGACTTCAGAAAGCCGGCCTGTGTTGAGAATCAGTGCGCTTGCTTGCCTCCCCCACGCTTGGGGCGCATACATAGAACTCAGGGCGCTCAACGTCCTTCAGGTTGACGGCGACCGAGAATTTGCGCGGCTCTTTGTTGTCGACATAGCAGACACGATGTGAAGTCAAGTAGGCGTGGCCATCTTGGTAGTCCGGGATCTTGTATTTGCTGCAGAGGCCGCTATCAGCTTCGCGGCGCACAGGCGAAGCTGCCTGGAGCTGCACTCACCCTTCGTACAGGCCAACAGCATCCTGCACGAACAAGAGCGTCTCGTCCGGCAGGAGCTCAGGACGCAGAGCAGTGGTGAGGTCAAGGCGGTGGAGGAACATTCAGCGAGCGCATGGGTGCAAGCGTGGTGCAGCAGCAGGTCGGCTTGCGCCCCGCAGGTGTAGGCAGCTTGGATAGTTCCGTCATCAGGCCGAATGGCTCCTCACGTGCGCGCTATGTCCCGTCCTCGGGCGGTCGGGTCTGCCAGCGCCGCTCGCGGCTGCTGCCACTTTGCACGAGCGATCCGCCAAGCCAGTAAGCGACTGCTCGTTTAAGGCGGCATTCCACCGACCGCCTCACCTCCCTCACTACCACACCCCTTCCCCCAGCCTCCTTTCTCGACCAACTCACGGCTTTTCGTCGTCTTGCGTACCCTTGCTTCTGCCCTCGTTGCTCGCTCCTCCAGTTGCAACGCCATGTCTGCCTCTGTGCCATGGCGCCAGCCGCCCGGCGCTGCGGCCATGAATCGTAAGCCAGACGCGCTCCGCGACACAGAACACCCGTTACTCACGCGCCGCGCCCCTCAAGCCCCAGCACCTGCTTACACCGCCGTTCCTGCTCGTCGCGCCTTTGCCCGACCCGAGCCTATATCCTCCACGTCCCCATCCCAACCTCAACCCGCAGCAAACTCCGCACCGCCCAAGAAGGTCGAATGGCCTCCTTCCGTCCGCGAATATGTTCAACGCTCCTTTGCCGACCTCTCTGCTGTCCCTAGCATCGGCCGTAAAGACATTGAAGACACGCTTAAGAGGGTCATCACCGAAGCCACCGAGGCCAACATGCTGTACCAAATCGACTGGGATAAGCATCCCCTTCCCCAAGAGATCATCATGACCCGGCGGAACACGGCCACAAATGTAGACAACTTGCCTTGGAGGAATCAGTCGACCCCAGAGAAGAAGATGACGGATGCAAATGGCGCTTTTCCGAAGAAGCGCAAGTCTCCCGATGCGAACCACGATGCTGACGATGACTCCCTTCCACCATGGCGGAGAACTAACAAGAGAAGACTTGATGACCGCAGCGAACCCCCCACCTCGCCCGGCGTAGTCCGAAGCCTGGCAGACCGAATGGACAAAAACCACATCACCCCCAAAGGACTTCGCGACAAAGGACTCAGTAAGTACGACAACGATGCCGACAAGATCGAGAAGCGCCAGCAACGCTTCTACAGCGGCAAGAGCTCCCCGCGGCCCTGGAACACCTCGCGCGACGACTCGCCCGCGGATGCCAACGACGGACCGGTTGTGGGCACCTGCCAAGACCTGGAAAAGCGATACCTTCGTCTCACCTCAGCACCGAAGCCGGAGGCCGTCCGCCCGCCGAACGTCCTGGAGAGAACATTGGAGCTCCTCAAGCAAAAGTGGAAGAAGGAAGGAAACTATACGTACATCTGCGACCAGTTCAAGTCGCTTCGCCAGGACCTGACTGTGCAACACGTCAAGAACGAATTTACCGTGACAGTGTATGAGATCCATGCCCGTATTGCTTTGGAGAAGGGGGATTTGGGTGAGTATAATCAGTGCCAGACGCAGTTGCGTGCACTGTATTCGCAGAAGCTCGGAGGGCATCCGGCAGAGTTTCTGGCATACCGCATTCTCTATTTTATCTATACGCAAAATCGAACCGATATGAACGAGGTGCTGGCCGATCTAACCCCCACAGACAAAACACAACCAGCGGTCAAGCACGCTCTGGACGTCCGATCCGCTCTGGCTCTGGGCAATTACCATAAGTTTTTCAGATTGTATCTTGACACTCCGAACATGGGAGCGTACTTGATGGACATGTTCATTGTGCGCGAGCGACTAGCCGCCTTGGCTAACATTTGCAAAGCGTAAGTCCTCACCCTTTTGCTGCTCGGAATGATGCTCATGGTCGATGCAGGTACAAGCCCAACATCAACATCAAGTTCCTCACGGACGAGCTCGGATTCGAGTCTTACCAAGATTGCGTGCAGTTTCTGTGTGACCATGGCGCTCAACAATTCTTGGAGCAGAAGAAAGATGACGGTAGTGTGATTTTCCATACGCAACCGCAGTCGGCGGCACTCTTCGAACAGCTGAAAGCGGGAGCTTTCCGCCGGGTCGACATCAAGGGCCAAATATGAAATGTCGCACTAGACCGGCCCCATCCTCGCTCTTCCTGCCGTGCTCGGGGAGTCTACGCGCCGAGTATTCGCAACAGTGGCTTCGGAGCCTCCGGTGGCCTTGTAGTGTCTCACCAGAATGCGAGCGGTCACATGCGTTTACCCGTCGCGTCTGCGTGCGTCCACTGCGCGTCGAAGCGGCCCCCTTTGAGGGGGCGCCTAACGGCAACTGCATTTTTACTTCTTTTTTTTCCTTCTTCTCTATCATCTATCTACCTTTTCATCCGCCACGTTCAGGGCTACGACTGCGATTCAACCTCTTGGCGTCGCCTCGCCAGCGATCTTCATTTGCACGGGGACCGAGATCTTTGGCATTTGAAGAAAGTTTCAAGATTTAGCTTTCTGGCGGTGACAAGGAAGCTCGGCGGCGATGGCGAGTCAGACGAGGGTTCCCGTTTCGGGTCGGGGCGCGGTGCGACTGGTGAGGCGTAGAGGAGGGATCCGGATGAGGGTGTGGCGTGGAACGCTCAAAGGATCGGCAACGGCAGTCTTTGTTCGGAACAAGGCCCGGGCGTTGCGAACGTGGCTATGCCTGTCGGTGCGTCAATGCGGACGTGCAGGAGCTTTGTCCGGGCGGAAGGCTGCATAGCCGTTGGCGAGTGTCATGCGGGCTGGGAGGCATGCGGAATGACAAATGGAGGCGTCTTTGGCGGCAGTTTTGAGTTGATGGCTTCTTCGGGCTCTTCGCGTGGTGGTTTCAGCGGCGGGGTGCCCCAGGCTGTGGTGCTGAGTAGTGCAGCGCTCCCGACATCCGGCGCTGCAGCAGGCGGCGAGCGCTGCCCTTGGCTTACAGCCGAGCGGCGCAGGTACAGCGGCGCGGCATGGGGAGGCGCGGGCGTTTGGGGATTTGATTTGCACCTCCGTAGCGGAATTGACGTGTCGCCTAGCATGGCTCTCTCCCCTCCAGTGGTTTTGCGGTAAGGCTGATTGCGTCGCGCTGGCAGGCGCTGCGGAGCCCGGCGGCGTGGGCGTGCTGGGAACGCGATCGCCAACTGCTGCAGCGGCGGCGCACAGACGAGCGCATCTGGGGCCCTGGCGCCTCCCCGCCGCGCGCGCTGACGCCTTGGGCGCGCAGTCTCAGGTTATTACGCGCCTGGCAGCGCAAGCGGAGCCAGCTGCAATCTCATTGTTCGCTCTGGTGGCGCGCTGCCACGAGGTGTCGGCGGTGCTTTGGGCCAGGGTCTCCCACGACGTCCTGACGTGCACGCCATCATTCCAGCCCGACGCACCGCAGCCTGTCGCCCTCCTGCTCGCGACCCGCCCTCTGCTCGCCTGCGCGCCCGCGCTCTGCTCCCCGCCGCCCCCAAGCATTCGCTCGCCTGCGCCTGACCAGCGAAGCACCGATCGCGACCAAGCTCCGGCCAGGGCGCGCTAAAGCGATTCCTGGAGCCTGCCTGCGACAACACCTGCCCGTGCCAAAACCTACCTGCTCCCCACCAAACAGCAGCCCTCGAGCAAACGCTCTCTGCCTCTCGCCGCGCCGCGCTGAGCTGCTCTAGCCGTTCGCAATGGTCAAGGTGAGCCCCTCGGCCCAGCCCCAGCGCACCCCGTGGCCCAACCGGTGGACCCTGCCCGCAGAATCCCGCGAGCGCTGCGCTGACAAGCCGCCGTTCTAGTTCCGGAGATCGCTCAAGAGCGACAAGGCCGACTCCAAGCCGCACCACATCTCCATCCCGCCCAAGGACGCGATAGCCATCGTGCCGCCCAAGAAGGTGCGTCGTGCTGCCCGGCCCCCGAGTGCTGCTGCTGCCCGGCGACGCAACGCCCCGCCCTCCGCGTCACCGCGCGCCCGCCGCCCAGCCTTACGAGCGTCCCTGTGCCCGCGCAGTCATATCGCCGAAATTGCCACTCTCGCTAACACGCAGCGTTTGCGCAGGTTATTAAAGCCCTCTACGACTACAGCGCCCCCGACAGCGACCACTACCTCAGCTTCACCCAAGGCGACTTCCTGCACGTCGTCGGCCGCGAGAACGACCCCGACTGGTACGAGGCATGCAACCCGCTGCACGGCTCGCGAGGACTGGTACCCGTCAAGTACTTTGATACCGTCGGCAAGACCGTTCGGGACAGCGGCAGCTCCCTCCACGAGCTCGTCAACCTCCACAGCGCCGGCCACGACAGCGGCTACGCCGAGAAAACTTCTGCCGAGCACGATCTTTTCCCCAAGCCCGCGAGGATGAGCAAGTCGTCGATGAAGGGCGGCGCCGGCGCCCTCGGCGGCACCGGCGCCATGGTTTACGGCGTCGTCATGTACGATTTCAAGGCCGAGCGCCCTGACGAGCTGGAAGCGAAGGAGGGCGAGGCCATCATCGTCATCGCCCAGTCGAACCCCGAGTGGTTCGTCGCCAAGCCAATCACCCGCCTGGGTGGCCCTGGCCTGATTCCTGTGTCCTTCATCGAGATCCGCGACATGTCCACCGGCAAGGCCGTCCCCGATCCTCATGAGGCCGTGCGCGCCGCCGGCGTCCCGCGCGTGGAAGAATGGAAGAAGATGGCAGCCGAGTACAAGAACGGTAGTATTCCGCTGGGCAAGCTGGAGTCGAACTCGCAGCAGACGCTGCAGCAGGGCATGGAGCGCATGAGCGTCCAGAGCCGGAACGGTCAGAATGGATACGCCTCGGTAAGTCCAAACGAGTTTCCAGTTCGCATGAGCTTGAATAGTGATCGGCAAAAACAGTCCCACTCGCGCGCAGGAAGCGTTGCGGCCGCCAACGGCGCCTACCGCCAGTCCAACCAAGCCGAAGCCCGATTGCTTGCGCCAATCAACGCCAGCGTTCCCCGGTACTGCTTCGCCAACGACATCTTCTGGTTCATCGTCGAGTGCCAAATGGAGGATGGCTCTTACTGGGAACTCTCTCGTCTCTACCAGGATTTCTACGACCTCCAGATCAAGCTCATCAATGCCTTCCCGCTGGAGGCAGGCCAAGTCGAGGGCGTTGAGAGGACTCTGCCCTACATGCCTGGACCGGTTACCTACGTCACCGACAACATCACTAACGGTCGCCGGGCGAATCTGGACGATTACATCGTAAATCTGCTAAAACTTGGACCCCATATAACCCGCTCCGAGCTCGTTTGCGAGTTCTTCAAGCCCAAGGAGAACGATTATGAAATTGACCCCAACATCAGTGCGGATGGCTACAGACTATCCGGCGCATCCCAGCAATCCACCGATCCGTCTGGTGGCGCTTCGAGACAGTCTTCCAGCGGAAATCTGCAACAAAGCCACCATTCGCATAGCCAGTCACAATCAGGCTACAGTCACCAGCGCCAGACTTCTAAGGCTCAATCCTTGCACCCCGTTCAGCAGCACCCTAGTATGCAGCGAAACAACAGCTCCATGACGCAGGGGTCTGCTTCTTCTGCCGGAAACAGTACCCTCACGGGAACGGGTGTTGGTGCTCACAAGATCAAGGTCTGGTTTGAAGAGGACAACTGCGTTGTCATCCGGATGCCGGCATATTTCCGTTTCGCGGATTTATACAAGAAATTGCAAGAGCGCCGTGCGTTGGAAAGAGGTGTGAGCCCACAAGAGGTGGCTGATGAAGCGCTCCTGGTTGAGTACAGGGACGAAGCCGACGGCCAATATTATAGTATTGGAGACGACGAGCAATTAGAAGACGCGATTGCGCGAAGCCCGAAGCTTGTGCTGTGGGTCAGCGCCGCCGCCCAGTAGCGGAGAAGTCGAGGCGCTGCACCGCGAGGTTAAATTTGCCTCGCATGCACCGGCGCTGGGAGACCGCAATCGAAGGGCCACACTTCTCATCCGGAAATAAAATGCCGCGCCGGAGAAGGGATGGACGAAACAACAGAGCAAGAGTAGAAGACATATGGCCAGGAGAGCATGAGAGGCCAGAAACGCCAGACTCCAATTGATTTGGCAACGGACATACTAGGTGGGCTGCATATTTTGTTTTCTTCTTTTTTTCTATACCTCTTGATTAACGACGCACGACTGAAGATATCACTTTCCGTTTTGTTTACCCCTCGCCTGTTACTGCCTTTTATTGCGTATTCACTTCTTTGGTGCCCGAAGGATAAGGCGCCACTTGCTTGGATAGGTTGACGAAGAAGAAAAAGTCTTCACAAAGTTGTTCTGGCTGCGAACAAAAGTTACATTCCCTCCGTCCCTACGACTTTTGCCAGTACGGCTTTCTTTCCGGGCGTTCTGCTTCTATGCTTTTCGGGACAAGCAACGGTTTTTCTGCGCTTCTCGGTCTTTCGGTCCTTTGCAATTTCCTTCGCTGACAATTCTCGCATTCATTACTTACTTCCTTTCCTTGTTCGTCCTTTTTCCTTTCACCTCTCCTGAGGCGTTTTGCGGCGTAATATTTCCATCAACGTGCCTAGTCTGTCTGTTGTTGACCCTGTCTCGCGTTTCTTTTCTTGATTGTGGCCTGGCCAAGCTGGTGAATGGGTGTCCGTTGTGTAGTCTGCCATGCTCTGTGCATGAGCGTGGAGAAAAGCGAAAATTCTCTGATCTTGAAGATCATGCAGGAGGAGGAATGAGTATTGGGTGGTTGTGGAGATTTATTGAGACGGTTAAGCCGAGCATTGGAGAGACGATAGGAAATCAGAGGAAATGTTAGTAGTCGCAGCGGTAATTGGTGATCATCTGCAAAACTAGGTTTCCTCTATTCCTACTCCTTTTCTACCCCATTGGATACGGTGCATGTAAAGTGAGTTTGCATGGAGTAAATTTCAAGGGTCTGGGTACGGCTGGAAGGGATGAGCTTTGATGCTTCATGTCAGACAAGATTGTTCAGCTCTCATGGGTGTTCTAAGTCCTTACTTTTCCTGTTAGGCTAGTATCTTAAAAGCGTATGATGCATTAGTCTGTTCGCCCTGTTTCTTTTTCCAATTCCTTCTCAACTTTTTGTGTGTGGCCTAGATTGATGCATGAGACGATATGATACTGAATCGACTTTTTTTGATGTTACATGTGTAGTTGGATCATGCTCATGGATGCTCCGAAGATATGTAGTGAACCCTGTAGCATTCTTCTTTCACGCACATGTTGCAGTGTGCATGCATGTATGCATGCGAGTCTCCCATCTGAGGCCTGGGTGCATCATTGCAGAAGACTTCGCTCGGCCCAGACCCTTCCGACAATGGATCTAATAAGCTGCAACCACTTGTGGAGCACTGCAAGGCGCCAGATTAGGCAAGTCAACAATGTCGTATGCTACCGCTCGATCTTACATACGTATCTAGAACGGTGCATGCTCTCTCTATATACATCAAACTCGTGGCGCAAAGTGACGATGGCGCAAAGGGAAGACTCCACGGCAAACGTCATCAGCCAAATTTAAGATCTGCAGTTATAGCCCGGATAGTTCATGGTTCAGAGCTTCTAGATTTTTGTTGTCTCTTCTCCGGATACCGTGATTTTGTAATGTGGAGCGCGGTGAACGCATAGGGAGAGTAAACTCCTCGCCGCACTGCAGAAGGGGAAGCAAATAAATTTGCTCTTTCCTTTGATTTCTCTCACTGAAGACAGTGAAGACGCTATGGTGGAAGGAATGTGAGCAACCACCCTCCACCAAAGCACGAGGGAGGGGAGCACGAGATTCACTAATCAAAGTTTTTCCTGTTTCGTTTCATGTTTCATGTATACGGACAGGGGTTCCCAACGGGTTGCCCTACGGTGATAGAACGTGCAGCGTCCGCCGCTGCCGCCGTCAGCCCGCCACGCAGCCGGCCGCCGGCCCGGCCGGACCAGACGCGCCTAGATCAGGCTACCCATCTGTCGTCCTCATCGAGAAGAAGCACGCCAGGGTAGGCGACGGGGTTCGTCAGGGGAGGGCGGTGAATTGGACGCCGGAGCGCGAACGTAAATGATCGGAAGTGGCTATGTACGAGGAGAAGGAGTAACGATGAAGTGAAGATGAGGCATGGTCTCTTTTGGTGTGCTTGCATTGAGGTAGTGGCGCAATCGCAGTACATGTTCTGCCTTCGCCATATCCAAGATACACTGTCGAACTGTTCAAACATCCATGCATCGGTAAGAAAGATGACAGGGATAGAAACATCCAGCTACGTCATCAGTAAGCGCTCGTTTCTCCGGCGAGGGTATCACTTTCTTCTAGAAGAAATCCAGAACTCTTGACTACTTATTAAAAGTTAAGTCCGTTCATAGCGTGCTTAAGTGAAAGAAGAACGCAAAAGACCTGCAAGCCAGTTACTCCCATCATTCATGTTCCTACAGGCTTTTCCACTCATTCCATCTCTCGACACTCCGCCACCCACGTAGGGCCTCATCGTCGTCAGCGACCAGTCGGCCCGTCTTGTCCATCATCGTCTGCGGGCGCTCCTTCTCGCCTGAAGGCTCAACGTCGGTGTTTCGCACGGCTTCCCCGAAACTGGCACGTTTCAGCTCGCGATAAACCACCCGTGTTCGCCGATCACCGTTTCCACTTCGGCTTCACCTCACATCTGTTCTAGAACGAAGGAACCCACTCAACCGGGGCCCACATCCCGGTTTCAAAAGATGCAAAAATAGAACCAGGGTGGACTTCGGTGATGGTATGATGTTTTCCGAGAGGGAGGGAGCCCAAAAAGGGCAAAAAAAGAACTAATTCAACTTCCTTTCCGTCGCCGGGAATCGAACCCGGGCCTTGCCGGCGCTTGATGCGAGGAGTGCTCTGTATCTGAGAGCGGCAAATCCTAGCCCCTAGACCACAACGGAAGTTGTAGATCTACTCGATATTACTCGAGTGTCTCTCTCAGTTGACTGGAAGTCGACTGAGACTCGACTAATTATATAGTCTAAAATATCTGTTCATTAAGATGAGAACAATCTGTGTCGTGGTCGCGGTGGTGTGGTGTGGTTGATAGATATTAGTAGAAATATAGTTCACCGTCACCACGATGCTGCTTCTACTAACAAATTCCCTGTATATAAAGACTGCCCGTTATACTCTACCCATAACAGATATAGTGTCTAGTACTAGAAGAAGGCATTATGAGTACCCTAGTGTTTATACTTCGGCCAGGGCGGACCCTGGACGTTGGTCTCGCTCCCTGTCCTCTGCACTAGCACCACTGCACGGTCATCGACTTCGCGATATCCAAAATTCAAGCCACCTACCAGAAAACCAAACTTGATGTGTTCCTTCAGTCTTCTAGATCTTCTAGACCAAGCAAGCCCGCAGCCCTAAGTAAGTCCGCAGGAGTAGCGGCACAGGGTTCACGGGGATTTGTTCCGCGCCAATGACGGGCCGTACCGCTCACTTCTCAGACGGGCTCTGACCAGGAACCCTAGCCTTGAACACAGCGTTCAGTGGCGGCAGTGTCAAGGTGAATGTGTCCCGCTGGTTCTTGTCGAAGTAAGCCGGCGTGCCGTCATCGGCTAGGTGCATATCGAAGTTGAGCGCAATCTGTGAGAGCGAAGCTCTCATCTCCATCCGTGCAAACTGCTTGCCAGCACAGTTCGTCGCTCCTGAAACCATCTCAGTATTATCGCCACTAGATAAATGGGCCAATCGGACGAGAAGAGCAAAGAGAAAAAAAGGCCTATCTTACCTCGTGAGAACGCCAAGAATGGCGCCGTTTCGGGACTCATTCCCTCCCATCTCTCCGGATAAAACGCCTCCGGATCTTCATAGTACCGCGGATCTCTCTGTATCGTGTGCGCCGCAATCGACACGACCGTATTACCAGGAATGTAGACATCATCGATCTGCAGACCCTCGGGCGGAGTGGTCCGCGAGAGCCCCGAGGGCACCGGCGGGCGCAGGCGGAGCGTCTCGTTGATGATGTGGTCGACGTACGTGATGTTCTTGGCCTCGGCGTAAGACCAGTCGGCGCTGCCATTGGGGAAGGCGGCGTCGAGAATGGACTGTAGCTTGGTAAGTACGCGGCGGTCTTGCGCGAGGTAATACACGGCGTTGGCGACTGCGGCGGCTGTGGTGTCGCTGCCGGCGATGATAATCAAGCGCGCATCTTCATCAAGAGCAATTTTGCCCGGTGGTGCGGAACGGTCGTTCTCGTAGCGGGCCTTGAGAAGCCAGGAGAGGAGATCGGTAGGCTCGTGTTTCCTGTCTAGGGTCTTGAATGGGGTTTTGTTAGTCTGGAGCTCGAGGATGTGTTCGTGGAAAGTACTTGCCTTCTCCTTAAGGACAACTTGGTTTCCGCAGTACTCTTTGAACAGGTTGAATTTCCTTGTCGCTCCTGGGGTGTCGGAAAGGATCTTAAGAAGCCATGGGACAGAGCTGAGGAAGCCGATGATGGCCATGGAATCATGCACTCCTTTGATGGCAGGGTGGTCCTTGCCGTCGTCCAAGGAACGGAACTCGGTACCCAGGCCGACATCACCGATAATGTCCAATGCGTAAGTATTAGCCCAGGCGGTTATATTGACTGGCTCTCCTACACGATTTCGGAGCTGCTCAATCAATCTCGCTGTCTTGGACATGACACGATCCTCGTACGAGGCCACGGCTACTTAAGTATTAGTATACTCCAGACTGTGGTGACTTGTCCGTTCAATTTTTGAGTACCTTTCACACTAAACCCTCTGTCCCATGCTCTTCTCCTGTTCTTCTGAACCTCCTGAGACCTGGTGTAGAACATAGATTGTTTCGATGGATCGTCTCCTGATTGCGCATACCAAGGGCCCTTGGGGCATTTGGACGGTGGACCTATTACTTTTAGCGCCTAGCCTAACATCGCGTCCATGGATGGTCCTACCGTAGACGAGTGGAATGGCAGAGGCTCGATTGATTGAGATGTGGCGGGGTCCGATGCGGACAAAGTCTCCGTATTGGCGATGCAGCTTGTCTACCTCCAAGTGGAACTGGTTATTCTTGGCCGTCAGGCTCAGCGCATAAAACTGAGACAGTCTTGCCGGAATTGGCCCAGGGAAGTTCCTCAGGCGCAGAAGGCGGCCAATGGCGATGCTGCTGTAGAGACCGACATTGAAGTAAGTTGCTGTGAGAAAGGTTTGCCAGGCGGAAGATGGCAAGTCAAGCCCGGAAATAAAGAAGGCATGGCAGAATAGGGTGATGAGGCCCGAGAAGTAAACCCCAATGATGTGCCATCCTTTCGCATCAAGTTCCACCCCGGATGCTTTGATGCAAAGATGGACTAGTGTACCCAGCGCCAGTGGCGCCAAGGGCGTAATACTTTCGGGCATGGTACCTTGACTTGAAGTTGTGTAAATTTACCGTGCGGAGTCCGTTGCAGCGTCAAAGCCCACAAATATATTCGATACCTTTATCTCGACCAGGATCATCAGGCGTTACGTGGCAGATCACCGCGCCCAATGAATTTTCTGTCGTAGTAACTTTGTCAGGCGACCCCACTCCAGGCACTTGTACGGAAAAGAAATCGGAGATCTCTTGGAAAATAGTCATGCCTAGAGCAATCGCCAGCCTAAAGAGAACTCAATGAGCGAACTGGTACCGAAGCCATCTCCATTAAGATGGATGACCAAGCTTCAGTAAGGATGTCACATGCAGGTAAGATGCCTTCGTATTGGAGGTCAGATCAGAGCACATTCAATTTGGATTGACAGGGTCCACGGCCCTCGCTTAATTGGGAGGAAAATAGCGGTAACTTCTCCCTACAGGGGTGTCGAAAAAGTGGGGGAGCGCAGACATCCAGATCATTGTTCTAGCGCTTTACGCTCTAGCACCCCAAGTACAATGACACAGTCACCGCCTTGCAGAATTCTGCGAGATTCCAAGGCTAGCTGTAATTATCTTGCTAAACGCTAGAAGCAAGTCTTAGATGACAATCATAAACTGATAACTTATACTTTGTTATCGTAGATTGAAACCCGAATGCAAAAATACTGTTAAAGGACAATGCGATTATCGTTGGGGCTCGGACCTGGCCCCACTTAAAACCTGACTGCCCTAGTGCCTCAGACTATCTTAGCTGCTTACTACTACCTACATACAAGGGACTTTGATGCGGTGGCCCCGGCAGAGAAAGTCTTGCTATTGCCTTACTCTAGTGGATCCAGAGCTCTCGGTTGTCCACAAGAACGTCGGCACTGTAGTCAGGCTAAGGTAAAGAAGCAGCCTGAGGGCCAGAAAGAAATTGGAACGCTCTAAGTACCCCACAAGCTTTGTTTGAGAGAGAAAAAAAAAGAAAGCGTTATAAACATTATATAAGAGAGGTCTTTGATAGTATCCTTTGTAGAATGACTGGGGAAAATCGAATACTCGCCTGACAACTGTCAATTTGTGTCACCCCTCGGCATATTACTGTTCATGCGTAGGTAATGAATTTCGAATATAGGCTCCGTGACTGCAGAGATCCTATGGCGCCAGCAGGCGGTAAGAAGTTCAAGGTTCGACATGAGAAGCAAGCATGTAATGGTAACAAAGCATTGTTATCAAGCAAAATTGAAATGCGTACAAGGAGCAGATTAATGTGTAATGCGAATAAGTGCGCACTCTCGATGATAGGATATCCTTTTGCTTCAGATTCAGTAACGTTACCCGATCGGCAAAGGCGGATACTTATCTTGCGTCATGCGTCTTCTGTTCCCAGTGCTTGGCTTTATCTTACGCAGATCTATGGCAAGCGCTTAACGTCTGTCTTATCATGAACCGTGTTGGCGGGATAATTTACTCGTCTCACCAGTTCTTCTTTAGCATGTTGCTTGACGTCTCAAGTCACAGCAAACTTATTGGCAGTATATACTCCCCCCAGAATGTGGACAAGAAACGCCTCCGGGACAGTTGATTTACTGGTATTTCATGAGACGTTGTATAGATCTGCCATACCGTGCAGGTAGCATCGATCCACTTGACCGTCTGCTTCTAACTTGCCAAACGATAAGCTCTTACACTCTGCGAACGTCAGCGAAGTGGGCGGAACTTCTGGTATTGGGTATCCCAAACCATCACATCTCTGTAGTTTCTTGGACCACAGCTCCGCCCACTCGGTCTTTGATCAAATCCAGTAGACACAAATAATTACGAACTTGCTTTCATCTCAGCTCTGCACAAGCACGGTACCAATTGATCTTGAAGCAAGCACATGCGGTGACGGCGCAGGTCGCAGGAAAGTCCATGCCAACCTGGGTAAGAAACAGCAGGAAGATCGATGGAAGAGATGATCAAAGTTGTGGGTTATCATCTTTATCTGTTCTTCTTTGAACTCATGTAAGTGTCTCAACCACTTCGTCCAGACTCTTCTCGCCCAACTGCGAGCGGAGGCAACAAAGAAATAGACGTCCAAAACGATCGCGCCGGAACTTTGGTATGCGCGACATATCCAATCGAACGTTATCATCTCTGTCGACGTGTTACGTTTCAAACGGCAGAATTCATCACGCTTGTTCCATATGGATCCCTTCTGCCATGCGGATCTTTGGCGTCTAGACCGCGGGTAACGGCCAGTCAACAAGACCAACGCCACTCCCCTGTAACAAATGAAGAAATACGTCGGATTGGATCATTGGTCGTTTTAGATGCCATGGGCTCTTCTGCTGGTAGAAATTGATGTTTATGTTAAAATTGCTGAGAAAAGCAGCGTAATACTCATTTAATGAGAATGACTAAAGAGCGCTTCATCAGCACCACCATCCTAGCAGAAGTCTGGCCCTCTAGGTGTCTGAAACGCCGGACCCTGGTGAATAAGGGTTCCTTGATGTAGCTAAATCACTCTAGCTACTCTGGTGACGGCCACGGTCCAGAGTGATGGCAAGTGTTGTCACCTGTGAAGCAGTCACCGGCTACAACCATATTCTAGGCCATATAAAGATCCGGTGCAGTCTACCAGAGCCATCTAGATCTCAGCAAACCTGTCTGGACCCCGGATTCTCGACCCAGCCTCGTCAATCTCTGAGCAAGCAGGGTGATAACATCACAGAGCACGTTGCAAACATACTGATTACGGCGCCACTGACCAAGCTAGCAGCGTTTTCGGAATGTGGGATACACCTATGGCTAATGTTTCCCTGGATAGCAGCTACTGGACTCCTGTTGAACACTTCTCTCATAAATCTGGGTTCTTCCACGAGCTTGGCCCAACACTCAGCTCTCCCGATCTCTTCATCTCGCCAGGCAACAATCCACTCTCGGACCCCTTTGGCCTTTTCCAGGATATACCCAACATGATCGCCGAGAAGAAGCTTCACTGGACCCAGCGTGTGGCCCTCATCAGACACAACCTCCACGCCGCCAGCCGCACTGGAGACTTTACGTTCTTCAAGACACTTCAGGCCCACCGCCTCCTTGAAGGGACGGATCACCTCGCCGCCCTCAACGCTGTCATCGGCGATGCCGCAGATCAAGTTTTGGCGTCTCTCGACAACTACAACTCTGTTATGGCGTATGTGCACGAGGATGCTTTCAAGAACGTTTACGAGAGTGTCAAGACGGGTGTCCGCGAGCAGGCGGGAAGCTATGACGACAGGCGGGCCATCTACTACGTCGATGCGGCGCAGCAAAAGGAGAAGGCTGAAAAGGCGATCGACAAGATGATCAACTCGGCCATCACCATGATCAACGCGCAGCCGGTCAACTGCCAAGAAGAGGCGGCCAATGTGTGGATCTGGGGCACGACCTTCGTGGCGGATGCGATGGAGGTGTGCCTGGCGCAAATTGATGCCATCGAGGTGTGTCTGGACGATTTCATCCGGCTGGAGAACGCATGGAGCGTGGTGCAGAGTGCAGTGGGAGCTTCCATCGGCGCCATCAAGGGCATCTTCAACCTCATGGCCCCCTGCGAAGCGACGCCCGACGCCTTGCAGCAGCAGCATAGGTCCGAAGCCACGGAGGGAACCGTCCGCTCTATGCTTCGCCGCATGAGTACTGCCATGACCTCGGGCATGAATTCAGCCGCGCCTTCGCGCCGCCAATCCGTCATGTCTGTCTCCAGCAACAGCAACATGATGCCTACGGTTGTGCCCCTGCAACATGGCTCCATTCAATCCAGTGGCCCACCTCTACGTGGTGTAGGATGGAGGCCCAGCGCCCTGAAGCATAGCAAGGGCCCAATGGAGCTGATGCCAACCATCCCGCCTACGCCGGCCGCCGCCCTGCTCAACGCTAATCCTTTCGACAACTCTTTCAGCGGGTGGGTCTCTGCTCCTCCTCCTTCTCCCCCAAAAGCACCCCCCTCTCTACTGAATAAGTTCTCCATACTGACACTTAACAGCAGCAGCAACAACTTCTCCGTCAGCGAAGACGTGCCCCCGCCCCCCTCGGCACCGCACGCACACTTCGTGGCCCCCGCCGCCACCACCACCACCAACAACAGCTCCGTCCAGCAGCAGCAGCAACAGACCTCCGCCGGGCCCTCCTCCGCCGGCGGACAGCAGACCGCGCCGCGCAACACCTTCTCTCCTGCCATGCCCACCGCCGCCACCACCAACAACAATGCCGGCGACGTCGCCGGCTCGCCCGGGTCGACAGCCACCAGCAGCAGCATTGTGGATGGAGGCGGTGCGACCGGTAGCAGTGCCGGTAGTGGTGGCAAATCACGTCCGCGCAGCTCGAATGTGCAGGAGCCGCGCCCGGTGTTCGATGACATGCTGTTCTCCCTGTAAGGTTCGCCCTCTTCCTTTATTTCTCTCTCTCTCTCTCTTTTTGTTTTGTTCTATTTCCACTTTTATCACACTCTCTCGCGGTTATGATGACATTGTCTACAAGAAGCAAGAAGCTGTGTGTGTGCAAAACTTTTACAGCTACTGATGCGGGCTTTGTATGGCTACAGACAGCAGGATGATCCCTTGTCGGATGACGCACAGATGACGGGATTGATCATGAGCGGGGAGGAAGGCGACTTGGGGGCGTATGGCGGGGGTGGCAATAGCGGGTTTCTGAGGAGGCTGTCGACGGCATTTGCGCCAACGGTCGTGCATTGACGCTGATTTTGGGCTTCGGAGGAAGCAGGTCCGTCTCGAGTATGCGTGTCACTGATTTGCATTGATCCATGAGGTTCTGGTTTTCTTTTCTTTCAGAAAGCTGTTGGTGGGGGGATATGGAAGGGTGCCGATTCATGAAGTCTGTCTTTCCCTGTTGGAGTTGTGGCTTCCGCACTTGCTTTTCTTTGTCCCTCAACGCTGTTTTGGTAATGTTTAATACACCGTCCGGGCTTGGTATAGTAAACAGTATAAATTAGGAAGATACCGTATCTTAGGACAGTGATTCTCCTGAACAGCTGTGCGCTCCTAAGTTGTCAGCTCGGACATGATGATATTTTGACGTTGAGGCACATGCCATACACAGGGGTTTCTGACCTCCTTTCACCAAATGCTAAGCACATATACAAATTGCCATGGTTAGTTACTTTGGGTCAGGCTTCGTGCTTACTGGTGAGACTTTTGTGGTTCCTCCTCGTGGATGCGCAACAGAAACTGATATCAATCGTCTACGCTTGGAGCTTCCCATATTGGGTGCTCAGCCAAAGGTGGGATGTGTCAAGACTTCTGGAAAAAAGGGGCTCCTTTCGCATACCAATGTATTCATATTTTCTTTGGGCCTCTTTAGTCTATCATTATCGGTTATGTCGCTTGTTGATGCTCGCGTAGCGGTGGTAAGAGACGATTCGTCGGGTAGGACCTGGGTTGTGGTCACATTGGAAATCGTTACCTCTATCGTAAACCTGATCACACGGAAATAACGGGTCCTTTCTTTAGTTAACTTGAAAGAGCTTTTATTTCAATCATTCCTATCGATATTGCCTCTATGGCTGGCTTATTTGGACTTCTGTTAGCCCCCACGATTACAGCCCGTGCAGTTTCACTAGTGGAACTTGGCCACTAAACGACAAAGTGGGGTTTGCTGTTGGGCATCACCTTATTCTTCCCTTCCCTGATCCCGTTCCGTTCGCCAACCCAACCTGTGTATGAAGCCGGTATGAATCGAAGGTTCGCGCGGGGTCGTGTCAGAATGTCAGGGTAGCTGACAAGTCCAGATATGAAGAGACTTCGCACCAAACTCGCGTCCAAAGTCAGGCACCAACATCGGCACAGCTCTGAAGTCCAGCAAACTCAAAATAGCAACGAGCTCGAGCAGGCCCGAATGAATGATGATGCAAAGTCAAGCGAACCCGAGTCAGCAGAAGAAGCCCAAACTTTAGATCAGGATTATGCTGCTCTGAGCATTGGTGATCATCGAAACGCAGAACAATACACAGGTATTGTAGAAAACTGTCCGCACTGTGCCACGTTCAAAGAGGGCGTTGAAATGGCTTCGCGCAACCATCCGCAGCATATCAAGCCTACGCAGGACAGAGCGTACGAGTTTTTCCACAAGCCATGCAAGGAATGCGACCGCTACAGAGATGAACCCGATGAATTTCTCTGCGACTTCTGCCGTCACGCTCGTCTTCGGCACCTATCGTTTTGCTTGCCCGCGCCGAGGGACAAGGAAGGCATGCATGCGCCCATTCAAGTAGCCTGGCCAAAGAACCATGTGTGGCAGCACGCGTGCAAAATGTGTTATTTCATGGCCTATGTCTGCAAAACGCAAGTTTCCGAAATGGGTGCGTATGACGCAGTGAAACTTGAGAGAGGAGAGCAAGGGTTCCGACAATGGAGACGGGATACAAGCAAGACACCGGATTGGGAGATTCATCTTTACCCTATCAGAGCGATGCCACACGTTTTCCTGGCGCAGAGAATCGAATCTGCGACACCTGAGAAACCGCGGTTGCTGAAGCCGCTCATTGAGGATTGGGGGAAAATGAGGCGTTGGTTGATGGAATGCGACGAACAGCATTCCACGTGCGCGCGTCCAATGGAAGGGCTCGGGAGCTTGAGCGGCGAGCTACCCGCCGGCTTTCGTGTCATTGATGTTGTTCAAAGAAGAGTCATCCGACCGACTAGTGGAGTACGTTTCGTTGCCCTGAGTTATGTTTGGGGGAAAGACTTGAGCGACCACTTGCTACAGGCGACGAAGGCGTCTATGAAGGAGCTTGAAGAGATGGGTGGCATCGTTTCGCAACGAACTCCCAGAACAATTGAGGATGCAATGACTGTCTGTAAGCAACTTGGAGAGACGTACCTCTGGGCAGATCGGTTGTGCATCGTGCAGGATGATGCAGGCACCAAGAAACAACAGATCGATGCCATGGACCAAGTATATGCGGCAGCTACGCTCACACTTGTTGCGTGCCGCGGTCTCGATATGGACTCCGGCCTGTCAGGAGTCGGTTTCCAGCGAGATCGACAAGCACATGTAGCCTTTGGCGGAATCACGGCGACACAAGTCCGTGAAGTCCATGCTGCTACGATTCGGAGGTCCTACTGGGACTCAAGAGCATGGACATATCAGGAGGCCGTTCTTTCCAAGCGTAAAATCTTTTTCGGTAGGGAGGTTGCCTGTTTCGAATGCCCCGAGACCATACAGTACGAAGACCTTTACACTGAACTCTATGAGGGGCCAAAAAAGGATCCTGCCATGGGTTTCTATGACTTGAGCCTTCTCCAGCCAATGGAACGATATACATGTGCCTTTCGGCGGCATCTCAACATATACTATCAACGGGGTCTGACCAACCCAAGTGATATCATCAATGGGTTTCGGGGAATCTTGAATGCTTTGTACACCTCCCAAAACATTTACTTTGGGCTGCCTCAACCGTGCTTCGACGAAGCGTTGCTGATTACAGATAATGCATCTTCGAACTTACATGGTCAGACCTTGAGCAAAGCAGTGTCTCAAGACGTTACTCTTCCAAGCTGGTCCTGGGCCTCATTCTCCTGGACGCGCCTGCAGTTGGAGGACTACAGCTTCCAAGGTACCCTCATATGCAGCTGGAAAATATCCGATGAATCACCGCACCGCCATGAAGTCATTGAAGCCACAGAAAGCCCGCTTTCTTGGCGACCGGATATACCAAAGAAAAGAAGACAAGACTCGGGGATGCAACAGAAAATTCCGCCTCGCGTATACCTTGCGCTTTCGTGGATTCTTGGATGCATAGAAACACCTGCACCTTCATCGTGGGACGCTGCCGATTACGCTGACTTGGACGACGGCTTGGATAACCGATGGACCTCCTACCAAGAATACTGGAAGGAACTGCTCGAGAAAACAACGGAGCCAGATGAAGAGACGTTATCCTACCTCAAACCTGGAGTTATCTGCTTCCGTACACAAACAGCATCCCTGAAGCTGGGTAGCCGAGCTACCAACGGCGAATATCAGCACATTTTGAGCCCCGAGGGCGAGAGTATCGGATTCGTTCTTTGCAAGGCATCTCATTTCCAGAACCATATTGCAGAAGCGAGCCAAGACAACTACGAATTTGTTGCTATGTCGCTTTCTGCGGCTAACCCTGCTGATTTCAATAATACTGGAAGCGGTCAAAATCGGGAGTCCTACGACAGTCTTATCAGTCCCAGAGACAATTCAGGGCGGCTTATGATACCGATTCCGATCGCCAATACTCTCCTCATACGGAGGGACAAAGGAAGTCCGCTTGCGCATAGAGTTGCTGTGGCTTATATCCCACTAACGATATGGGCTAAGGTGCGAGATCCGCAATTTCGGACTATTCTTTTAGCATAAATGGTCGCCGTCCACAGGTAATAACTTGAATTTATTCTGAATGAGGCAACTGGGTTATTTTAAACTTGAATTAGAACAACATGTTCTCGCTCGTACCATTTGTGGGCATCAGGAACTACAATCTTTGCTGATATTGAACTGCCCTACACAAAAATAGCTCATCCTCCACTTCAATCTGCTGACCACCCACTGCGCCCTCTTGGTTGATGGATGCCACCTTGGAAATTATCAAACCGTTGCACACCCCATCCGCGCCCGCTTGAGCCTTGACCTCGTGCACCTGTTTTCGTGATGTATTTATCCTTCTCACGGTCCCAGTCCAGTTGCGTGCCATCTTGTCCCGATAATGGAATAAGTGCCTTAAATAGGGCCCGTTCCAGTCTAGAGTACTTAAACTCGGGTATAATTTGTCTGTAGCTGTCGTCTGAAGCATTGCCATTGAGGGCGATAAACTCGTGATGTATGTTGATGCTCAGCGACTGGTAGAGGGCCTCGCCAAGCAACTTGACAGCCTGGTTCTTGTCATTCACCAGGCTGAGTAGCTGATGTAAAGGATGATGTACGTCACCCGCCTCTGACATAGCGTTTCTGAGGAATGCATCCCAGTGCTTAGTTGCACTTGTCATGCGCTTTCTGTTGTTATCCAAGGGAATGGGGCCCGGGAGCTGCTCCAAGATGTGACGAAAGTACAGATCCGCGGCAATGCACTTGTATCTCTCCATCTGTAACTCCAAGTCTTTGATCTTCTGATCTTTCTTCTCTAGCACATCAAGGAACGTGTAAGAAACTGGATTGATTTTCTTAACGTGCGCTTGAAGTACTTGAGCTGCCCGCACAGGATGGTCACGAAGCGTTTGAACGCCTGGAATGCCGAACATGTATTCTCCAAATATTGCAATTCGCTTGCCCAGAAGCTCGACGCGATACGCTTCCCGATCGCTTGGGTCATCTAATACGCTGCGCCACAGCGCTAAAGCTGTTTCAAAATGCTTGCTTCCGGGCTTCAATAAATCGTACGATGTCCAGATACAATGCGAGAGGACTTTTTGATCGAGCTTTAAGGCTCGACAGAGGTCGTCGCGGAGATCTTCGATCTGTTTGGTTTTGCCCTCTGCGACCTTTCTGCGAAAAGATCTCCTGTATACATGAAAGACGAAAGCGTTGACGAGATCCGCGAGCATTCCTACGATAAACTGTGGATACGTTTCAAGGCAGTGCCTTTCTGTTTTCGGGAACCCCCGGTAAACTTTGTAGTCTTTTTTCACAAACTCATCCGCCCATGGAATGGTTTTTCTCCGTGATTCCAGAGGGGAAGCTGCTGCTATGCATGGCAGAATAAAATCCCGAAAAGTCATTGTTCCATAACGGGAGTGCGAGTCAATATGCCAGAATTCAGGTGTCCATGCGGCGAATGGGTTGCGGTCTGGTCGATGCTCAGATCGCTCCCAAAAATCTGCGGTCGGTGTTTCCTCAGGATCAGTTTCTGAAGAATAAGTCGGACTTGGACGTAGCTGGCTTGTAGTTGGCTCAAGCGACAAGTCTTCCTCATAAGATGAAGTCGACGCTATTTCCGCTTTCTGGTTTCTCTTTGCGCTATTCTGAAAGCTAAAGCTAGACATTATTGAGTTGCCGACGATGATTCATTACAGAGGAAAGGGCTCACGGCTTACAGGCTTTAAGAACCTGCAGTAGTGGTACATTCCACGAAATAAAATCTAAGCAAACGCGAGCTTTTTTGGCCCTAATCTCTAATCTCAAACCATCCGTTTGGACCTAAACTCACAAGTGAGGCACGCCACGTCTGAAATGAATAATTCAAGTACGTATTTCTAAATGTCAAAGAGAGTTCAAACGGTGTGTCTCCGTTGACAGTAACTACATTTACATATTCACACGTCGCAAAAGCCTAATTCAAACGGAAACGCCATGCTGGCGATACAAAAGACGTAAATATTTCTATCGAATAATTTATCCACATCGTAGGTAGGTAAGCGAGGTGGGCTCAAGATGGCGAGAGGTATGTAAAAGCAGCCACTTCTGTCGGGTCCCTACATTCCATGCCATTTCCGAACCATACACATCGAGGCGGGGTAAATTGCAGCCAAAATCAGTACATAGTGCATACAAGGTGAAATTCCAGGAACCAAATGCGTACAAGTCATTGCCAAGATACACGCATGCGTCAGCCGTTGGGCTGTGAGGCTGAAAAAAGACTCCTATTTTCACCCTACTCAATATGTTTTGGCACGCGTAAGGCTTGAGCCGTATTACTGAAGCTGGACTTCGGAAGGAATATTCCAAATTACACTGAGAAATTCTCTCAAAATATTATATGAATTCCACGAGCGGGTGCTAAAAAGCAGAGGCGCTTGGTTGCTTATATGCATGTCCTGCTTGCAATCCCAAACGGGCCAAGAATGTCTGCTTGCAAGCCGCCTAATTAATCGTTTGTGAAGCTGCTTGCGCTTCCTGTGGATTCTAGCATATACTTCTTACCATAGGCTTATTCCCAACCTAACCTTGCCGTAATCCTGTGCAACGCATTCGGAAAGCCTATAAAGTGAGGTTCCAAACAGTTATAAAGTCGACTGGCCATTCTAGTCTTTCGAACTCCACAAGACGACGTATCCCCCATCTCATCAATCAGATACTATCTCAAAAATGTCTCCCGGCAAAAAGGCATTGAAGTGTCTCGTCGGAGCGTGGGGCTACATCAATGCGACGCTCTAGTATGCTTCACATTTTCTTGAATCTTCCTGAATCCGTGCTCTATCCCCGCTCTGATTGCTCTACAAAAACCAGCCTTTTGCTAGAGCAGCTGATGCTGACCGCTTTCTCTTTAGCAACACCGCCACCGGTGACATAGTTACCGATGACTGGGGCTATCCCGTCCCCTCTGGAATGGAAGTCTTCACGCCGAACGGCTACACTGCTTTAATCGCCGTCCCCAACGATAGGACGCACCCTGAGCTGCGGCCCGCCTACCTCAACCCAGGCGACCCCTCGTCAGGCACTGATGCTGAATGGGCCTTGATTGGCAAAAACAGCCTCGTCGGTGCCGGCCCGTTCCACTTGTCCGACGTTACCGATGGCCACGACGAGTGCGAGGGCCCGCAAGGCACTATGTCGGGCTCGATTTGGACCTCTACGCTGCCGGGTCTCGAGCGTCCGTTCAAGTTCTCGTTTAAGTTCTATGATGATTGTTCGGTGTGGGTTCTGCATGAAGATATGGGAGAGGATTTGGAGCGGGTTGTGTGGTATTACGCAAAGGATGATCAGGATGTGTATGATGACTAGAAGATCACAAATACGAGGATTTGGGCCGTCTATCCCTTTATCTACGGCACGTGTCGTAGTATCTGCCAGCTTAATCATGCTACTCTGATTATGAGCTGTAAACTACGTATTCTGGGAGAGTAATAGTGACTGGATGCGTACGGCGACATTTTCTCTTTACGTAGGCACCGTATAGCAGATGCTTCATGCCAACACAGAAAAGCATCTCCTACAGCTCCTATGAAGCGGAAGACGAACCTGAGAAAATGATCCAGTGAACTCTGGTTACTCTCCATCCTCGACGTTCACTGCAGCACTTTCCACCATCACTTCCTCACCTCCTCCACGACTTTCACGGCCTTCACGGCCTTCTCCCCCCTCATCTCCAACCTCCTCCACAATGACCTTTTCGGTTTTCCCACCTTCCCTTTTCACCTCCAAAACTTCCACCCTCTTCCCTCTCGCAGGTCGCACCTCGGTCGCCTCCACCACCGTCTCAACACCTACCTCCCTCCCCTCCTCAGGACCCATGGGCAAACTTTCCACGTCAATCTCCCAATTGAGTAGACTCTTCAAAATGACCTCCGCTCCCGCCTTACTCATCACCAAGTTCGCCTCCTTACACCTCTCGTCGCAACAACACTCCAAACACCCATCCAAGCAATGGCACTGCGCCACCCGCTCACACGCCTGCCTCAGCAATAAATCCACAAACTCAAAAGCCTTGGTCGCGATCCCCGCGCCGCTCGCGCCACCCTTGGCATCATAAAACGTGAGCCTGGCGGGGCGCTTCCTGCTCGTCTCCTTCGTGGCAAACTCCTTGAACGCGTTCTTGCACTCAGTCCGCACATCGCCGGGCAGGCTGATAACAAAATTCGGCATGAGGCTCATGATGGCGTGCTCAGCAGCGTGAATGGCGCCGCCGACGTGCAAGCGGCGCTGCTTCATGATGTCCAGCGCGCGCTTGGGGACGTCGAGCCACATGCCGCGGCTGCGCAGGACGATGGGCGGGTTGTCGACGGCGACGGCGTCGAGGATGCGGCGCTTGCGGTCGACCTTGAAGAAGCCGAAGACGACCTGCTTGATGCGGATCGGCCCGCAGAAGGCGCGCGACGGGCTGCCCGCGATGCGCCGGATCGCTTCCGTCTCGATCGGGTCGACGTCGGTGAAGTCGCGCTGCTGCGTTGTCCAGTCGACCTTGACCAGCTCGACTTTGGCTAGCATGCTATCCGGCGAGAACTCCTTGACCAGGTAGCTGTTGCCCTGGTGCAGGAAGATGCCGCCCTCGTAGATGGTGAAGAAGGCCCGTGAGGCTTCGAGCTCTTCGAGCACGGTGTTGCGGTTGTTGGTCGTATCGATGATGGCGAAGTGCTCTTCTTCTGTGTCACGGATGGCTACGTGAGTAGAGGGTCGTGGGAGGAAACGCTCGTTGCAGTGGAAGAAGCCGAGGTCGTCGGCGCGCATGCGCTCGTGGGCGATGGTGGTGAGTAAGGGGCCGAAGTATTTGGAGTCTTCTTCAGGGCGAATCGGCATCTCGTGTGCGGCGCATTGGATGTGGCCTTCGAGGCAGAGCATGTTTTCCAGGTCCACTTGCAGCTCGGCGTTTGGTTTCGTGAAGATTTCGTCCGGATTTTGCATATAATACTGGTCTGTGGGGAAACAGTCCCCGACAAGGACAGATAGCGAGTCTTTGTTCCTACGGCCGGCACGGCCGCTCTGTTGCCTCAGGTTGGCAATGGTGTATGGGAAGCCGACGGTGACGACAGCATCGAGTGATCCGATGTCTACACCCAGTTCCAAAGCGTTGGTGGCAACAATGCCAACAAGTTTACCATCGAACATCTCTCTCTCGATCTGCCTTCGGTCTTGCGGAGTATAGCCACCGCGGTACGCCATGACCCTGTTCATGACCTCTGGTCTCTCGAGGTTGTTCAGCTCAGTCTTGACGGCACTGATCAGACCTTCGCATTGCTTTCGAACGCGACAGAACGCAATCACTCTTACACCACGCAGGATCAGTTGACAGAACAGCTTCGCAGCCTCAGCCATAGTATCACCTCTCCCGGACGAAGGGTCTCCTGGGTCCTTGAAAGGCGTGTTCCAGCAAATGAACTCTTTTCTCCCTGACGGTGAGCCATCGAAGTCGGTAAGCTTGACCTCTTCGACGCCGAAAATGGTCTTCATGTGTTGCTCCGGATTCGATACGGTAGCAGAGCAGGAGATGAACTTGACGTTGTGGTTACCCAACGCTGCACATATCCTCCTTAACCTTCTCATGATAAAGGAGACATGTGAACCGAATAGACCGTTGTAGACGTGCAATTCATCGACGACGACAAATTTGAGGTTTTGAAGAAATGTCCTCCAGCTTTCCTCTTGAGGAAGAATGGTAATGTGGAGCATATCCGGATTTGTGAAAATGATGCGTGCCTCATCGCGAATGTAGTTGCGGGAGGTGAAGGGGGTGTCTCCATCGAAAGTTTCGACAACAATGTCTTGCAGACCATCCATGAAATGCAGCAGCTCTTTCAAGCTTCGTCGCTGGTCCTGAGCCAGGGCTTTGGTCGGGAAAATGTACATTGCTCTTGTGTTGTGGTCATTTTCCAGTTCGTGAAGCACTGGAATCTGGTAAATTAAGGATTTGCCTGAGCTCGTCGAGGTTGATACGATGACATTGTGGCCATCGTGTAAATTATTAATAGCTTCGGCTTGGTGCGCGTAAAGCCGTTCAATGTTACGTGTGTTGTATAGAGCGTTGACCAGGTTCTGAGAGAGCCGAAAGTTCAGATCTCCGTAAATAGCTTCTTGCGGATCGAATACTCTGTGGCCGTCTGGGACTATCTGGCCCGTGTACCATTCTAGTCTCTTGATCTCGTCTACGATCTCCGGGATAGGCTTCCGCTCTGAGGGGATTGTTGATGGTAAATTACTTGTTCGGCCGCTTGGTCCTGGAGTGTTTGCCCGGCTTTCTGATGGCGTCGGGATATATACAAGGTATTCGTCCATAAGTTTCTGCACAGGGTCCTGGTCCAGTTCGGCGCAGTCGTTGAGCCACTGATTGACGGCGGAGGTGAATTTCGCATTACGCTTCTCGATCAGATTCAGCATTTGCTTTTGACTGTAGACAGGCATCTTCAAGTCCTCTCTACGAAGCGGCTGGGTGACTTTGGTCGGCTCTCCGGTCTTCTTGTGCTGAACCTGGCGCTTGAGATCTCCGTCGGTAAACTCGAAAAGTAGGACTTCACTCTTCTCCTTCTCTTCATTTCCTCTGTCCTCTAAGTCAGCAAGACGGAATTCATTTGCCCGTCTGCCAGCCATATTATCCTCTGAGCCCATTAGGTTGACCTGGAGCATGGCTTCATCAACGTAAGCGAAGTTGATTGCTGATGGTATAAGTGCTTTGAGTTGGGCGACGTCACCGATCAACAGTTCTCGTTTGATGTGGCCTTCGACAGTGGTTTTGATGTTGTCCAGAGTGGTGGCAAAGTGTTTGCGGGTGCAACAAAAAGTGTAAACCAGATTCATGGCACGATAAACCTGTTGGAGCTTGGTGAAGTGCTCCGGCCATGGTATCGAGGACTCGACGAAGCTGGAAGAGGTTTTCTTACGCAGCGTGGGATTGGAGTCGGATTTCTTGGTGCGTCGCGGCTTCTTCCCGCCATCATGAGCCTTGGTCGGAATGGTCGTGGTTGCAGCGGACGATGCGGAGGCGGCCTCTGCCGAAGTCTCGACTGCTTCCACGGGCTGCTCCTCCTCGGCCGGCGTTTCATCCTGGGCTTTCCTTTTGCGCGGCCGTTTGATGGTGCGGTTTGAGAGAGAGGCTGCCTGAATCTTCGCCATGGCGGGAGCATGCAGCGGGAAGTTGGAGGCTGAAATGACAAGCGTCGATGACGCAGTTGAAAGACGCGAGACCGGCAACGACTTAGCGCATTTCTCTACCATAAACAAAGAGCATACTCAACAGATGAAATGGAGACTAGAAACACTGCAAGCCCGAGTGAAGACAGGATTGACACCAACAGAGAAGGCACGACGCGTAAGCGCGGTCTCACATGCTCACGTGTGGTGGAGGCGCCAGGATCCGCGCGCAATTCGTCAAGCCCTCGAGTCGCCCGCGTAAACACAACACCCACGACACCCGCGATCACTCTCTTTGACACAATCAGGCGTGTCAATTCTGCAACGACACGATGTTCAATTGAAGCCGCGAAACTCTCCCAGAAACTTTGAAAGGCTAAGATATGGCTACCGGCGCTCGCTCAGCTAAGCGCCGCAAGCTGAGCCCACCCGACGACGATGCGCTCGCAGCCGCCGATAAATCGACGCCGGGTCCCACGCCTGCGAAAAGCACTCTGAAGCGACCGACACGCCGCGCCGGCCTCCTTTCCACCGATGGTAGCCGCGCCAGCTCGAGACTCACCCGCCGACAAGGTCACGCCAACGACCTCGACGACCCAGACGTATACGACGATTTCGACAGCGCCTTTGGAGAATCGCCGGCCAGACAGCTGCAAAGCGAAACTATTACCGCTACAAAACGCGCACAGCTACCAAAGAGAGCAACGCGGGCGAAGCCAAAGGTTGCGACCCAGAGCGACTCGCAGAAGGAGAATATCCCTGAGGACGACAGCGAGCAGGATAATGAGGAAAAGGTTGTGCCGAAGCCTGTGAGGCGCGGTCGCAACGCGCGGGTGGAGGAGACTGAGGCTGCGCCTGAAGCAGAGAAAGATGACACCGATGAGCTTGTGTCTGCGCCTGCGCGGTCGCGGAGTGGAAGAGCGAAAGCGGGGGCGAAGAAGCAAGAGACGCCGGCCAAGAAGGCACGCACAACAAGGAAAGCACAGGAAAATGGTCACGAAGAGCAGGACGACGAGCCTCGGACTGCCAGGAAGCCAGCCGGAAAGACAAAGACACCGACTAAGCCCCGGGCATCAGCTATAGAGCCGGCGGAGGAGAAGGCGAACTTGCTAGACTTGGTTGAAACTGGGGATAAGGCAAGTGAAAACGACGCAGGAGATGCTACACCGGAACCGACGGTATCGCCCGTTTCGAAGCGGCGTAACCATTCCGTCAAGTCGCAGAGCACACCAAAGAAGGCGGTTGAGCCTTCTGGAACTGAACCATCACGAAGTGCTTTAACCTCGGTCAAGGTCAAGGTTCTGGCTCAAATCACCGGCAAGGAGCCCGTACCGCTAGTCGGCCTTGAAGAAGAATACAAGAAGGTCCATCAGCTCGTGGAGCAGACCATCAGTGCAGGAGAAGGAAATTCTATGCTCATGATTGGGGCTCGGGGAAGTGGCAAGACAGCGCTGGTCAATCAGGTGTTGAGAGAACTGTCCAAGGATCAGCGGCAGGACTTCCATGTTATCAGGCTGAATGGCTTTTTCCATACCGATGACAAGCTTGCGCTCCGTGAAATCTGGAGACAGCTTGGAAAGGAGATGGATGTAGAGGAAGACACTATCGGCAAGAACTATGCCGATACACTGGCTACCCTCCTCGCTCTCTTATCTCATCCTTCGGAGCTGGTGGGAGAGGAGTCCAACGAAGTCGCCAAAGCAGTCATCTTCATTATGGATGAGTTCGACCTCTTCGCTTCGCATCCTCGTCAAACTTTGTTGTACAATTTGTTCGACATTGCACAGTCCAAAAAAGCGCCTATTACCGTCCTAGGCTTAACGACAAGAATCGGTGTCTCTGAGAATCTTGAAAAGCGAGTGAAGAGCAGATTCAGCCATCGATACGTTCACTTGTCGTTAGCAAAGAACTTGGCATCCTTTCAGGAAATGTGCAAGTCGAACCTGATGCTACGGCCTGAGGCGTTCAGCGAGTGGGAGCCGACCACGTTTACTGGTCAAACTCCATCGAAGTCCCGGACTAGCTCCAAGAGCAAGCAAGCGGCAAATCCCACGAACCTCATTACAGCTTGGAATGCTTCGATAGATGTGAGACATCCCAGTATTGTTATTGGGAGTTAGGTACTAACAAACGATACAGTCTCTCTTCGCCGACCCTCAATTCATCCAGACCTACCTTGCCCCGCACTATCACCTCCACAAGTCCGTCCCCGCGGCTCTCTCGACCTTCCAGGTCCCCATCGCCCTCCTTTCACCCGACACCTTCCCCCTCACGCCAGCCCACTTCGTCCCTCCCACCTCAACCACCGCGGCCGCAGCAACATCGGCAACCCTCCTGGCCCCGCCAGACTCGAAGCTCTCCCTCCTCCCGCACCTCTCCGACCTCGGCCTCGCGCTACTCGTCGCCGCCGCCCGCCTCGACATCATCCACGACGCCGACACGTGCAACTTCAACATGGCGTACGCCGAGTACGTGGCGCTGGCCAGCCGGGCCAAGATCGCCTCGGCCGCCGGCGGCGCCCTCGCCTCGGGCACCAAGGTCTGGGGCCGCGAGCCCGCGCGCCGCGAGTGGGAGAACCTCATTCGCTGGGAGCTGATCATGCCCGTCGTGGGTGGAGGCGGTAGCGGTGGGGGCATTGGTGGAGGTACGGCTGATAGCGCCATGGTGAGGTGTGATGTCGCGCTCGAGGAGATTGCGCCGAGCGTGGGGCCGGGGTTGGATAGGGTTGTGGAGAGATGGTGTAGGCAGATTTGAGGGGAGTGGGGCTGTGGGGTTTTTGGTTGTTGTTGGATGGTGTGGTGGGAGGGGGGCGTGAGTTGGGGTCAGTGCATTTATTGGGTAGCATCAGCTAGCCTCGCAGTAGAAGCATTTGGGTAGAAGGATTGGAAAACATCTGCGTAGAAAACGTTTGCAAGGGTTCCGGTATTCCGCGTATAACCGTTTATGGATAGCGTTCAGGAAAAGCATAGCATCGGCAAATTTAGCAGTATTTGTTCCTCTTCTGTTCCTCCTCTAACACAAGTATGCTTTCAATCACTGTGATGGATTATAGACAATGCTCACGCACATTTTGGGGAACGACGACGGGACTGGCAATGTGTCATCGGCGACAGATAGTGATGCGTATACATGCACGTCACTACATTTACAACCCTGACCGATCAAAAACATGATGTATGCTCCACTGTTACCCCACCCAAACACGAACCTGGCCCTCCTATAGTGGGCCGATAAACAACCCATATCAGTATCAACGCCGTGGCCTCGCTTTCCACATGCATATGTAGCGTCACTGTGTCGCTTCAGTTGCATATACGGACCTGCTTTTCCCTCGCCACTGCCGGCACCATCGGCAGCGCCACCAACGGCCTCACCTACCCCGCTGCAAGCCTCAGCCGCGTCACATGCAGACCTGCAAAGTCAAATGAGCACGCAGCGAGCCCCACGTCACACGCGGACAGTAAAACTGTGCTTTGCCTGATCAGCAGCGGCCTTATGTTGCTCAGCGTCGTTATTCCCGGACGGACCTTAGTGACGTCTGCGTCACCGTAAGCGGACGCGGTCGGCTCCGAGAGGCATTTTGACCACTGTATGGCTATTCGAAGGTCCGCCTTGTCAGCCTTATTGTCACTGTGCGAGTGGCGCGCTGAGAAAGAACGTTAGCTTAAACGCGGAAGGAGTGGCGGCTTTTTCCTCCGATAGGGTTGTGTGAGACGGCCCATAATTTTGTTGATCCTTCCCGCTGATTTGCAGCCCGCCGGTCGACCGCAGAGGTGATGGAAAGAGTAAGCCCTTGAAAAAGAGACGGTTCATCGCAAGCATTTATCATTTAACCCACGGATAAGCTGACCGGATCTTTTTTCCAGAAGTGTACTGGGCGAGAAGTTTCACGTATGTGTCGTGCTGTATTCCTAGTGACCTTTGAGCTGCCATTTCGCTGGGTAGGAATATTGTCTGGGCCGAAAGCGGCTTCATGGATATTTGCCAGACGGCAATTGGGTGCAGTTGATTGCTGACCGCGCAATGAGGCCGCCCGTCCAAAAATGGAACTGATGGAAAACGATGGGTACGGCTCATCTTTGAGCCTTATGCATATTCATAGTGGCAACCATCAAGCAAGCTTCCCCTTCCGGAGATACATCCGAAGATCACCGTCCTCGGCATATACTATCTAAAACAACTGGCACCCTGCTATGCAGAGTACCGTCCAGGCAGCAACTTCTGTGATTTGAGAGACATCCATGGACAGGTCCGCATTATTACCGTTCTCGTCACTTTATTCCGAAGAAGTGAGTACGACTGGCACTGGGAATCCCAGCTTCAACGTACGCCAAGCCGGGGATCGCAAGTATCATCCGGCTTGTCTCGCATCCAAACGAGAGTAGTGGATATTAATCAGCAAATCTGGGTGGTGGCTATCTGCAGGGACAAGGATCGATGGCGCTCTGCAACGTAACAACTTGATTCACACATAGCGTAGACCGCAGAGTCAGGCCCAGCTAATGAAAGAAATGAGAGTCCATCCCCCAGAACAGTAACTGATTAGTTCAACTCGTGTATAAGAAACTTAGTGTTGCCACGTTGTGGATAGACGTGAGACCATGTGCTATATCCGCATCTCCGCGGAATGGTCGACCTTTGTACTCGAAGGCCACTAGTTGCTTATATGCATGCAGGCATGATGCTCTAGTCGAGAGCAATACGTGACAGGGAGGTATCCATGCTTGGTTAGCATCCTCGAGGTCCGAAGCTATCTACGTAGCAATGTGATAAACCTTCGACAGACGCATCTGAAGGCCTAGAGCATGCTGTGTAACGCGTAAACCGTTATCCATTGAACAGAATCTCGGTTTAATTACTTTAGACAGTTAATCCCAATTTAATCACCATTATGTGAGCAGCCAAGGAGTAAGCTTTCAGGGTCTTTGACTTTGTCTCTATCAACCCGCAACGAGGGGTAGCCTGCTGGGCGGCAAAAGAGCCTCTGAAGGAGTCAGGATATATATCTCGGCCTTTTCAATCGAGACCCTTAATCTACTACCTTTTGAATTTACTAACCCTTCCCCATTCCCTCTTCTTTTGAAAGATTTCCAATCATGGATACCAGTGCTTTTTCTCATTCTGCCCACTTCAGAGTGTCTATGGCACTGGGCGCTATCATATTCACGCTGCTGGTCTATATCACGCGTCGTATTCTCAAAGTCGGCGCGCGGCCTCATGGTTTCCCACCAGGTCCACCCACACGCCCGCTTTGGGGGAATATCAAAGAAGTGTGTCCAAACTTCCTATACCTTCTGCCCTCTCTTTCTTGATTCACTCCTCACGCACCCCCATCCATATGTCAACCCAATCATCCTTTACCTCTTCAATAAGTCTTCTCATGTTCAATTCTAACATTGGCCTCACACCCCAGATCAACACCCTCCGCCCACACCTCACCTACACCGAATGGTCAAAGACCTACGGGCCCGTCTTCACCGTGATGCGCGGCGCCACGCCGGTGCTGGTCGTCAACTCAGCGGCAGCAGCACACGACATCTTCAACAAGCGCGGGCAGGCGACGGCAGGGCGGCCGTCGGCCAACAAGGTCGACATGGTCGCGCGCGGGGGGTACGCGCCGGCGCTGATGACGGGCGCGCCGTGGCGCTCGGCGCGGCGCATGTGGCACGCCATCCTCAACGTCGGCGCCGCGCGCTCGTACCTGCCGTACCAGAAGCTCGAGGCGGCGAAGCTCATCGCCGACGTGTGCGACGACAGCATCGGCGGGGCGGCGCAGTGGCGCGAGCACGTGGCGCGGTTCAGCAACAGCGTCGGCATGACGATGATGAACGGGCGGCGCGTGCCGACCAAGGAGGATCCGGGGATCAGGGAGGTCATGGACGACCTGTTGCAGATCTCGACGCTGCAGCTGAAGACGGAGTGGATGGACAGCATTGATTGGGTGTGGAAGTTGCCTGGTCGCCGGTGGTGGCTGCCGCCGATGAGGGAGGCAGAGAGGCTGGGGGTGAAGCATGAGAGGATGTTGAAGAGGCATTGGGAGAATGCGAAGGGCTGGGTCGAGAACGGGGAGAAGTTTTTGCCGAATTTCATCACGGCGATTCAGCAGAAGTTGAAGGCTGGGTGGGAAGGGTTGACTGAGACTGAAGGGATGGAAGTGGCGAACGAGTTGCTCGTCGCGGCGACGGATACCACGGCGAGTAGCTTGAACAACTTCCTTGCTGCTATGGCGTTGTGGCCGGATGTACAGAGGAAAGCTCAGGAAGGTTGGTGCATCCACCTCTTCAGCAGTCCTTCCCAGACTCTGGATTTCGTCTACGTCATGCTAACAAAAATCCACAGAGATCGATAGAGTTGTAGGCCCTGATCGTCTACCCAATGAGGAGGACTCCATCGATCTACCCTACACCCGGCAGTGTATCCAAGAGTAAGTTCCACAATTCTCGTCATCGTGATTCAGGCACCCAATGCTAATCCTTCCCAGACTACAGCGTTGGATCTCAGTCGCGCCCCTGGCTCTTCCTCATGCCACCACGGCACCCATGCAACTTGGCGAGTACCATGTACCAGCAGACACGATAGTCCTCTTGAACGTCCACGGTATCCATCGCGACCCGGAAGCCTATCCGGATCCTAAGGTCTTCAAACCAGAGCGCTGGGAGGGCAAGCTTGAGACGGTCCTATCGGACGAGCAGGTCGGCGCGCGGACAGACCTATTCGCCTTTGGCGCCGGGCGCCGCGTCTGTCCAGGCCAGCATGTCGCGGAGCAGAACCTGTTCTTTGTCATCTCTCACTGGCTGTGGGCGTTCGACATCCAGAAGAAGAAGGACCCGGTGACCGGAAAGGAAATTGACATCGATATGGACGATGTTAGACCGGGTTTGGTGAACACGATGAATCCCTATGAGGTCGAAGTTAAGCCGAGGAGCAGGGAGAGGGCAGAATGGATCAAAGCAAACTGGAAGAAGCAGAGGGAGACGCTGTTGGATGAAGATGAGCAGTGGCTTTCGAGCCCTGAGGCTGTTGAGAAGATCATGGCAAGGACGGCGAAGTAGAACGAGCTTCTAAACTGGAGTAGACTTCGAGCCAAATCAAATTGTTGTGTCAATCTGGCAAACTAGTAGCACTCTAAGTAAAGGGCCACATTGTACGGGCAGTGATCGCTGTCTCAGGTGTTTCTTTGACTATTGGGCTGAATTGGCCAAGAACTTCATCTAGAACTCACTGCTGTTCAAATGTGCTCGAGCTTTTAGGAAGGGCCTCTCTCTCCGAGGATTCCCTGCTTCGGCGCTAGAACTTTTCGGCAGTTCTGCTCGATGAAAAACCTATGTGATGGTGGAGTCCAAAATGGTGAAGTTCCTCAGTGGACCTGAACGAATCGTGGATTACGGCACTTCTCGCCCGTGCAAGCGCTTTCGTAGACAAGCATTCGGGCAGCAATTTTAGCCGCACAGGGCATGATGCCAGAAAGGCATAGAAATTCCAGTCGCATGTTGATCAGTTAGAGAATCGGTAATGGTGATTTCAGAAATAGCTCCATTCAACTCAAGATGGGCTGATCGTGGATGGGAAGGTGCAGCACGGATGAGGTTGGGCTTGCAGGCGATGACGTGATGCCGGAAGCGAAGTCGGATGGCACACAGCCGGTCATGCAAGCAAACAAGCGTGGGGTAGGTGCAACAGGGCCCCAGCACCAGCTGTTCTTTCTTTGTGCGGAAGCTGCCAGAAGCATATCGGCCAGCGGAGCTCTACTCGTCTCTGCTGATATCCGTACCATGCACTGAGCTACAGATCAACCGGCACTCGCGGGACCACTTACCGTCTACATTCAGCATGGCTACCTTTGCGTGAGTGCTGCGCAGTCACATCACCCTGATCCGACACATACTGAACGTACCTCAGGAAAGCCGACTTCTCCTACACCTCGTACGCCAAACTCCGCCCGAGCTATCCGGAATCTCTCTATGGCCTCATCTTCTCCTACCACCAAGGGCCCAGGGTCCTATGCACCGACCTTGGATGTGGACCGGGCATCGTGACGCGCGCCATATCCAACAATTTCGACAAGGTCATCGGCGTTGACCCTTCGCCAGGAATGATCGAGCAAGCGCGCGACGGGACCGACTCATACGTGTACCCGAATGTATCCTTCCAAAGCGGACCGGCCGAAGAGCTGCCCTTCTTTGGCGACAGCAGTGTCGATGCCGTAGTGTCCGGTCAGGCGGCGCACTGGTTTACTTATCCGCAAACGTGGGCATCGCTGGCCCGCGTCCTTCGCAAGGGCGGCACGGTCGCGTTCTGGACCTACGGCAACCCCTTCTTCGTAAATCACCCCAAGGCGACGGAGATCATCACCGAGTGGTCTACCAACACTGCTGATCCGGAAAAGCTGGGCCAATACTGGACGCAGCCCGGCCGCAGCATTGTCGAGCAGCTCTACCGCCCCATCCAGCCGAGCGAGGAGTTCTTCGAAGATATCAGGCGCTACGAGTACGTGCCGGATACGAAGGGACCCGGAAGCGGAAAAGGAGAGGAGGCGATCCGGCTGTACCGCAAGGCAACGGTGGCGCAGTGGAGGGAGTACTTCAGGACGTGGAGCGCGTGGCACGGCTGGTACGAGGCTCACCCGGAGGCCAAACCGCGCAAGGAAGGCGGTACGGGCGATGTGATGGACCGCATGTTTGACGAGATCAGCGCAGCCGAGGGATGGGAGAGCGACGATCTGGAGGTGGAGTTGGAGTGGGGAACTGGTCTCGTCCTGGCGCGGAGGAGGTGAAAATGTTAGGCGAAGTGATGAACGGTTGCGAAAGTTGGGCGGATCCGGCCAGATTGCGGTGAAGGAGTTGCGAAGATATTGTTGCCGGCAGTAGTACTACGCGATAGGAATAGCGATAATGGCAAGACAGGGCGCTTTTGAGGCTTCCCAGGGCTTTCTAGGACCGGAATTGCACATGGCAGTGGGTATGACGTTAATTGTTGTGGCTTCGGCCCGTTGCCTCTGCAACGCATGGGCCGGCCTCTTTGCGGCCTGCGCGCACGCTTGGGGCTGTCATTCGGGGGGCTGGACATCTGTCACCGTGCAACACCCAATTCTGCTGTACAACCTCGCACCCTCGCCGACCGCATTCCACACCCTCGTTCCTGTCGCACCAAGTCACCCGTGTGCTGCATCGCATAGATTCAACAGACCAGCCAAGAAGATGGTACGCTCGCTCTCCGCTTCCCTTTCCACTTTGGGTGCTGCTCCCTGAAGACGCCATCCCCCAAACGCGTCCTCCCCGCCCAAAGTCAACACGGCAGCCCAAACACGCTCTGCGAGCCCCAAAATCTCTCTTTTTCGCGCTCGCGCCGTCTTTTCGCCCCAAAAACACTCCTTCCGTCTCTCAGCACTTCGCAAGCCCGTCATGGCGTACGACAACTCACAAGCGCAGGCCTCTACCAACTACAAGGAAGCCTTCCAGCTCTTCGACAAGCGCGGCAACGGCCGCGTCAGCGTCGACTCGCTCGGAGACCTGCTGCGTGCCTGCGGCCAGAACCCCACAATATCGGAGATCAAGGACCTCGAGAAGCAGGCCGGTGGTGACTGTGAGTCCGCCCCCATGTACACACATATGCTCGCGGAAGCGCTCTGTGAGATGCGCGAGTTCGTTACTGCGCAGCCATAAACGCGCCTCTCGGGAACCCCGCGGCCAAAAGCGCCCCCGTTCGTCGAACACGGCTGACAATTCGTTCTGCGTGGGAAAATAGTCGATTTCGAGACCTTCTCCAAGATCTTGAACCGCCCCGGCGGCTTCCGCGACCCCGGCGACATCGACGAATATTGCCGCGGCTTCGAAGTGTTCGACCAAAATCGCACCGGATTTATCGGTGTTGGCCAGCTGCGCTACATTCTCACGAATCTGGGCGAGAAGATGAGCGACGACGAGGTGGATGAGCTCCTCAAGGCCGTCGACACCAGCTCCGGCGAGATCGCATACAGGGGTACGTATACACATTTTTGCAATCTCCGGGTGCAATTATAGCAACACCGGTCCGCTCTCGCGCTTGATTCTGCCTGATACTGACATGCGGTGTAGATCTGGTCTCGACCATCCTGGCCAACTAAGCGGGATTCCGAAGGCTTCACGGCTGGCCCTCACTCTTCTCCTTCTCTCCTCTCCCCGTAACGACGAACGAGACACACATATCGGCGACGATGCGGCTTTCAATAGCTTAATTATGGATTCTTGCTTTTGGGCGTTCATTGGGGCTTTATTGGCGGACGGGAATCCTTGCATTACGCACCATGATCTGCGGGAGAGAGGTTGGGGAAACTACAACGACGTGCGATGAGATGGTGAAGATTGCCCTGCAGCTGGCGACCCCAGCGGCACGGGTGGAAGTAGACTTTGAAGTGCAAATATTGAGGGATTTGTGTCCCAACATATTACCTTGGGGGCCTGCGCTTGGTGTGCACGTGGATCCTGGCCCCGGACGACCGGCAGTTCTCGGTGGGATCCGCGCTGTGATGTTGGAATTGACAGCTGTGATGTTGTAGACCCTTGTAAGCTGACATGGCCATCTGATCTCACTCACATTCCCTAGCGTTGCGGCTACACGCGAATAGTTCGCAAAAGCTAGGGAGAGCGGCTCACAGATGATAATGAGCATTTGCACTATCAACAGAGAATGAAATCAAATACATCCTGAGTACTTGCAGCGATGCACTCACCATCGTCACATTTATTGATCAAAGGTAGTCGACCGCGGCCAAAGGAATGGCACATGCAAATCATGCGGTGATTAGCCGATGAGATCGTGGTTTGTTGGGCGACAGGGCAGGCGTCGGCCATGGCGTCACAGCCTCGTGATGGGAAACGCTACGTGCCCCGCCAAACCCCACATCTCAGCAGTCCCTCTCTTCTCTTGCTTTCGTCAACAAGATCGCCGTCAACTACATCTTCTTCTGCTTTCATCTCTCCAACAGCAACAACACATCACCCTTTTCTCTCTCAACCTCAACGCAAATCATAGCAAAAATGGGCCGCGAGACTTCCGCCGAGTTCAAGAAGGCGTTCGAGGACGTCAAGAAGCTCGCTGCCGAGCCTACCCAGAACGAGAAGCTTGACGTGAGTTTTATCTTTCGCTAACGACGCCAACAAAGAGCGCATCTTCCCCCAACATCATTTGGTCCTTGAGCGCTGCTATCTCCCACTGCGCACCCGCGCGCTCACCTATCTTGCACTCATCGCATCTCTTGAGAACTTCTGCTGACAGATGATGCCCGCCACACAGCTCTACGCCTACGCCAAGATCGCTCAGGGGGAGGATGTCGAGGCGAAGAGGAAGTCCCTCGGCATGTTCGACATCAAGGTAAGAGCTTCATCCCATTCTCTCCATCCTGTTCACCAGAGCTGCGGATGGAGGCTATTGTTGCAGAGTTTGGCTGACGTGTGATCTTTTCCGTGAACAACAGGGCAAGACGATGACGAACCACTGGCAGAAGAAGCTCGACGAGGGCGTCACCCCCGAGCAGGCCGACAAGGCGTACATCGAGCTCGTCGCGCAGCTCCAGAAGACCTACGGCACGAAGTAAATGATCGCGTCCACTCGAGAGAATATAAATTGCAAAGCCCGGCTAGAATCAGCTGCAGGATAGACATATCTTAGCAGAAAATGAACATGCTTTTTCGCTGGTGCTGCGTTTCTTCCTGCTTATTCACATGCGTTGGGTTTCGGTTGCTGCCGTGAAATTGGCGCTTGCTATGCGTTTCTTGTCTTCAGGACTTATAGTGATACAACGCAAGGTAAGTTTAGAGACTGCTACCTTTGATACCAACTTTCAAACCTCATCCTTCTCAATTCTTGTCCATGCAACAGCCAACGTGACTGCACACAGCGCTCCTAGTGGCTCTTAGAGACCTGCAGTATCTCAAGCAGAAAGATGAGGGCGGCGATTTTCCCAGTTGGTAACCACCGACGGTTCGAGACCATGTAGAAATTGGCCCAGAGGCTACTACGGAGAACGCTCTTGCATGATCGGCCCGGTCCCCTTACTCCGAGAGCTATTGCTAAAGTCCTTTCACAGGTCTTGAAGACATGCACAAGTATTCCAAGAGTCTTGCCGGAATGGAGTCGTCTTTCATCACCCTACATGGGACATGGTGGAAATCTCGTTGAAATATACCATCATCCTTCTTTCGTTCATTTGAGTCAAACAAGACAAGCTCTATACTGGACCACTCTCGGCAGGTGTCCATGACCAGGAATCTTCCCCCAGAATGGCTGGAGTAACGCATAACTGCTCAAGTTCCTCGGTCCGCGCGAAGCCGTGGGAGGCCGATTCGACCCGTTTAGCCGGTCGGAACGATATGGAAGTGGCACATCCCGCGCGGGAAGCCGATATCGCCGCCTGTTCATTTGCGCGGGCCGAGGAATTAAGGACAAGGTTGGGAGCAGCGTTACTTTCCTGCTCTGCGGGGGCTTCGGAACTGTACGGGACGGCAGCTAATTGCGGAAGCGGGAGCCAAAAAGGTTGTTGCAGAGTGTCCCTGAGAACCATTGTTGACTTTCTCGCGTGCTGTTTTGTACTCGTCCACAGCGAGTCACTGCTGCAACGTTACAGAGCCAAGTTGCTGTTGTATTGGTGGAAGATATCAGCCACAGAGTCACGACGGTCTAATGCCTCACCACGCCATGGACATGCCTAGGGTTGCGACTAATTTCCTTGGCTCCAGCGCCCAGCTCCGTCGCCACGTGGATTTAAGAGCAATAATCTAGCTTCCCGAATTTTCACAAAAAAGAGAAAGGAGACGCCGCAGTCAAGACGCCCGCAGTAGAAGCTTTGGACATAGCGAGAGCTGCATCCGAGGACGCAGAAAACAGCTGATTTAGAGGTCCATTAACACAGAAATGGAGGTGATTCCGAGACGGCCCAGCTCGCTTCGGGGTACAGATCGCCATGGCTCATTGGCAGCACGACTCGCGGTTATGGCTCGTGATGATTGGAAATTTCCGCATCCGGCAAGGCTTCCGTTCTATTTTCTGCTCGATGCTCAGCCATCACCGACCTATCCGTGGACGGCCTGATTACAAGAAATGAGGACTTTGATCGCGCTGCCGGCTGAAGAGGTCGGCTTGCTCTAGACTCTGATGGAGCTGGGGGCGCTTCTCTTGGCTTTCTGATGCACTTGTGGCGCCCAGGGGTTTTGCTACTTGGTTGCGCGGTAGCTTCCATCAGTTTGAAATCTGAACTTGTCTGGGGGATCTGAGACCACAGTCGGGCAGAGCGGTTCCGCTCTCCGCTCCACGGAAAGCTAGAAATGGTGTCACCTACCCGCCTAAAGACTTTCAGTGAAATAAGGAAGGAGCTTTGGGAAACGCGTCGACTGGAGTTCACTACAAAGCGACCAATCACAGCAACGGAGGGCGTGCGAGAGGACAGGATACCCAGGCCCCTGTGAAGCTTAAAAATCCCCCCGAGTTAGCGTGCCGCGCGCCATGCCGCAGCCCCAGGATGGGCTCAGCCCAGCGTTTCGTTACATGAAGGGATCGCGCCGATCTTATGGTGCGCGCGCCGCTGGGTGCCCTCTGAGCACTCCCCCAAGCTTTCTACCCTTCCTTTTGTTACTTGATTTTGACATACCTCCCCATCCTATCTTTTCTCGTATACAGTCTCTATCTTTTCTGTTTAATTCCTCAACTTTTTACGTTCCTTCTCAAGCCTTTGGCGTCATAATGCATCATGGCAGCTGCCGGGGTTCCGGCAGACTGGCCAGCACCTAACTTCATTGATCCTCCCGACCGCATTGCTTATATTGCATCTATCGAGATTCCGCTGCTGTTTCTGATGACGTTGGCGGTCGCCGCCCGCTTTTACAGCAGAGCGATACTTCGGCGAATACTCTCGTGGGATGACTGGCTCATGTTGCCGGCATGGGTACTGCTCACTTCCATCAGCTGGTTGTATATCCGCAAATACTGATCACTGTTCGCTGCAGGCCTGCTTGGCGACGGTCACGATAACAAGCCTTTACTCGACCATGCACTTGAATTTAACCCGACACTTATGGGATGTAAAGCCAGAGTGGGCAGAACAGGCGCTCAAGGTGTGGGAATCTTTAGCAAAACCTTTCTTCATCAGCTCACCGTCTGCCGCAGATCAACGTCATGTTTGAGATCCTGTACCCATTCGGCGTAGCGCTGACCAAGATCTCCATCTGCCTGAACTACCTGCGCATCTTTCCGCTGCAGACGTTCAACGAGTGCTTCTGCAAAGTCGCCATGGTCTTCACGGCGTGCTGGTGCATCAGCACCATCATCCCGCAGATCGACCAGTACGTCGAATGTCCGCCCGTGTCGAACACGCGCGAACGCATCCGCGTAAACAGCGACTGCATCAATCAACAGGCTTTCCTCATCTCCACCGCCGCGCTTAACAGCTTCAGCGACCTGTGCATCTTCCTCTGGCCCGCTCGGTACATCTGGGGCATGCACGTTCCAAAAGAGCAGCGATGGGGGCTCATCGGACTGTTTTGCGTGGGCGTAATGTAAGTGATTCTCCCCTATCCATACGAACACTTCAGTGCCAGTCTCCAATTCTCCAATCTCTATACACACTGGTTGGCGCGTGGAAGGCCCCACTCACGAATCTCTCTTATCTAACATGAGGGGAAATCCACAGCATCTGCATCGCCGGCGTCCTGCGCATGTGGTTCTTCACCGTGTGGTTCCGCTCGCACGACCCGTACTGGGACGGCGTGTGGAACTACATCATCCTAGCCGTCGAGACCAACGCCGGCTTCATCTGCGCCTGCCTGCCGTGCTGCAAGCCGCTGCTCGTGCGCCTCTTCCCCTCCGTCTTCAGCAACAGCGATTCCCGCAGGAACGCCGAGGAGGCCGGCGGCGGCGATGGGGCTGCTGGAGGAGTTGCCGGGCACGGCCCTTCGCCGCTCGATCCGGAGTACCAACGAGTGAGGAAGAAGAGGAGTACGTGGAGTTTTTGGGGCACGGGGACGACGACGACGACGACGACGACGGGGACGGGGACCACGTCGACGCGGTCGCACCATGAGAGCAAGAGGAGAAGCAGGAGCGCGGTGCCGGCGGGCGGTGGTGGCACGGGGTTGCTGGGTGGTGTGGTGGGTAGCAGTGCGGATGGCAACAAGAGCGACACCGCGATCCTGATGGACGACCTGAGCGGGAACCACGGGTACTGTCATACGGACGGGGGAGAAGAGCAGGACAGTGTCATCGTCCACGACCGCGATCCTGATCCTGGTTTGACGGTCACACCACAGCTCAGACCGACGGACGACACGACGACTACCGGGAATGTGGACCTGGAACTGGGCTTCGTCCGAAGTCTTGACCATCCTTCCGCGCGGTAGCAACTGGATGTTGGGTATAAGAGAAGGTGTTGTTGTTTCGAAAGAGAAGGTTCGGAACGGAAGAGTGTGTCCTGATCCAGAGCATGTCACTCACACGGACGGTGTCCTCTGGCCGAAGGTTCACTGAGGAGAGAAACAAGGTGGAGATATCTAATGAAAGGCATATACGGCTGGCACGTATAAAAGTGGTTTGGAATTTGTAAGGGAGCACTATACCATTTTAGCGATTGGGCAATCTGGCCCTGGTGTTTGAAAAGGGTACTTTCTTTTTTTTTTTTTAACTTTCATCAGCTTATATTCCTCTAAAGATTTTTGGAGAGCAGTCTCTGTTTCTTATTCTATCTTTCTTTTTTCTCTTCTTAACTACAGTCTGAAATTGAAAATCAACACGAATTGGCCGCGGAGGATTCCTACGAAGCCTTTTGATATGATATCCTAGTTACTATTAGATTGTGTTCAGTTTGCTCGAGTGATCTTGAGTAACAATGATCCACGAACTGCTCTAGTCTTGCAAATATGGAGATAGCAGCTTTCTTTGACGAGTTATATGCAGGATCTGTCGCCTCTACATCATAACCGTGCCATGAATGCACAGCCCAAAAGATCAGTTTCATGCTACTCCACAAACTGAAACTCCGCACCGGCGGTCTGATCCTCAAAGATAAGCTCGACAGGATTGCACCCCAGTACCCAGCCATCATCAACATCCGGCTTTGGCTCACCGTACGACCGAGAAAGCATACCCTCATGCCAAGGCGACAGCCGCTTCTCCTTCAGATCACCCTCCAGATCTCCCCAGCACCACCACGTCGTCCCCACGTAACCATCATTCAGCCTGAACCGCCACGACTCGCCCACCACATCCTCCTTGGTCAGCTTCTCCTCATGTCGGAAGATGCGGCTGACGGGCAGGTCGTGCGCAACCTCGACGCTGCCCTCGGCGGGAATGGTCAAGAGGTGCACCCACGGCCGCTCCTTCAGGTCCGCCGGCGGCGACTCCCGGCGCGCTTCATGCGTCTTGAAGTTTCCGAGCTGGATATAGCGACGGAGGTTGCCTTCGACGGGCGGCTCGACGACCGCCGCCAGCGAGACGGTGCCCCGGGAAAGCGTGTCCACTTGGCCTGCCGGGTTGAGCGGCGCGAATACGGTGCCGTTGGTGCTGATGGTGATGGCTTGGCCTGGGCGGGTGGTTTCCGCGATGCGGAGCGAGATGCGGAGTTGGAAGTCCTGCTGGTTGTTGTTGATGGAGAGGGTGGGTGATGATGGAGATGCTGACACGGCGATGGTGGCTTTGCGCCGTTCTGGAGGACAGATTTTCTTGATGAGAACCATTGTTGTGACGGAAGAGGTGTTTGAGATGGGAGATGAATTGATAAGAAGGCTTGCTTTAGAATACTTTGGTAGGGCCAGGATCCTCTGGTGTAGATATAGTAACAATAAGCTAGAAGGATTAGATCGACGTTAATGATCCTGCTACCACAGACGACCCTCACACAGCCACCGATCGTAGGCAACAGTACCCCGCCCCCACCCTGTTCTTGTCAGTCTAGAACAACAATGGTCTCACTCGATCAGCCACAATCAGGATTCTGTGCCACAGAAGCAACATGCGTAATTCCTATTTTGGGGTCTTGGACACGGATTCTACGGTCCGTTCTAACTGTTGTTATACTACTCCCTGGGAACTAACTTCGTAGACGTTAGTCTTTTCGTGAAATTATGCTATTCTAATATATTAATCGCAAAGTGCTCATATAAGCTTTTCCTGTAGGATTCGCGATTTTAGATCTACCCGTAGATGCGAGGGGGAATGTGTGGTGGCTGAATGTACCAATCTCTAATCTTCCATTTCTGCTCTTCACTATCAAGTTGCAATGCTCAGATATAAAGTAAAGCTCAAGCTCACAGTCTCCACAGCTACTTCACTTAGTAGAATTAACAAGTACATATTTAAATCTACCTGCCCCGCCCCATACTCTATCACTTCCCAATCCGTCAAGATGATTTCTCCATTCAGCACAACCGGCCTCTCATGGGCACTGTTCTCAACGGCGGCTGTCGTTAATGCTGTGCCTCATGCGCTTCTCCGTCGAGACGACTCGTACGAAATTGTTGATTGCGGAGGTAACACGGACAGGATCCAAAAAGCTCTTGACGATGCTGCGGCATTGGCTAAAATTGCGGAGGGCATTGACGATGAAAGCACTGCGTAAGCCTTTTTTATCCCCGGGAAAAAAAAAAGAAAAAGACCTTACAGTATGTTATCACAGCTTCACACATTACCTCCGCAAGGACGACAAAAGCCACGCGACGGACCTCTGGGCAACGATCGCAATGAATAACGATCCTTCCACTGCCCCCTACCAGTTCACCATACGCTGTGTCAATAGTTGCACTGGAGATGAGGCCAACAGCCTCGCCGTCACCGACGCGACACCGCCCATCGACGACGTCCCCCGCCGCGAGATGAAGATCTGCCCGCTCTTTTTCACGTCCGCCAGGACCGCGAACAACCTCGACTCGAAGAATTACGACGGCGACAAGCGCGGCAGCTGGTGCCAGACGGGTCAGAAGTTCAAGGACTTTGAGACCGCGGGCCACACTATCCTCCACGAGATGACGCATCTTGATGCGGTGGGGACGGCGGCCGGCATGCCAGAGCGGTAAGTTGCAATGGCGTAGTGGGCCCATTCCTCCTCGTTATCTATACTGAAGAACTTTGCTTTTGGTGTAGGGCCCAAGACGGCTTCAGGTCACACGGCACTGACGATGTGGTTGGTTACGGCGATGACTATGTTGATGCCGCCCGTGCTTTCCTGAGTGACTGGGTTAATCACGAGGATGAGATGCATCCGAATGCTCTGAAGCCTTACCAGAATGCAGAGAACATCGCTGCTGCTGCCACCGGTTAGTTGCGCTGCTTTCACTTTCCAGCAGAAATGCTAATGCCTCCTCGCAGAATGGTGGTTCCTCCAAAGCTGCAAGGACACTCTCCAGGAAATCAGCCTTTGAGGATTTCTGAACAAGGGTTTCTCTTTTTTCTCTCCTTCTGATTCCGTGGGTTGGGGCAAGTAATAGGGGTTTTCGTAAAGGTTCACCGGTGTCCACTGAGCTGTGCTACCTTACAGCCCTCTTGAGGGCAAAAGAAAAGTGGCATAGGTTCCGAGTGGGAGTTCATTTGGTGTGTACAACGTATATCCCATGTCTATAACAATTTTCTGAGATGAGTGGGCGGGGTCTCTATGATCTAGAGTAAAGGCAGCGTTTTCATTTAGATATACATCTTAGAATTCGACTCTTACCGATGCTTCATTGTGGACAGACCCAACGTGTGCGTGAGATAGTCCCTTCCAATTCACTGTGAAGCTGCAGTGCCGGCATCGAAGAACGAGTCCGACTACGAGTGATGATCGAGCCTGAAGGCAATAGAAAGCAAGTAGCCACCCTGATCTTTATAGGGCTGCAACTTTGATTCCGCTTCCAAAGGAAGTATCACTCGCACATGAGGCAGACACAAGGTTCCAACACTTAAAAGAATACCAAATCTATCCTCTACATCAACATTTACATCTCCATCATCCAGAGCTACACACTCAGTGCCCACCCCCAACAAGCTCGTGTCTTGCTGCAGAGTTCTGTGGTGATCCGTGATAAATTCACCGCCGACTGTCGGTAGATCATCTCCGAAGAGAACTTCGGACTCGGCCCGTGGGAGGACGCATAGCAGCGGCACAAGACCTTTTAAGCTCTAGCAGCGCGTACCACTATGATAGCGGTCCAAACAGAGGCGTTGAACCGAAGAGATAGATTGTGCACTCGGGTTGTCTGGCGGAAGAGCAGCATATTGGGTTGGGTTCTATGAGCACCGGTACGCGCGTCTCGAACTCTGGTGGGCAAACCGTGGGCGCTGTCAGCAGATCGACACTGGTCTCGCGTTCATAGCAGTCTGGTATCCGGTATAGTTCAGCATGGGCATGCTGTACATTCCAGACAGATCGGGAGGCAAAGTGCGAGTCCACCTTTGCCGAACCTCCAATCCAGGTGCTAGAGGACCTGATTCAGATCCCGTGCTGCATCTTTCGAACAATATCGTTTACACTGTACAAAACTCTATTCTTGCTCAGGAGATATCCTTGAAGCTGATTCTTCAGTTCTGGTTCTCTTTTGTGGCGGTTGATCCGATTTTTCGTCGGAACGCTCAGCTGCTAGAGCTGCTTCATCTATTAGAAGGCCTTCAGCGGCGAGCTCGTCATCTTCGCCCCACCCGTACATCTCATCTGAACTAAGTTCATCCTCTGAGTCGGGAACTTCATTCAGCCTTCTGGTGGTGGAAGGTCGTGCAGGCGACGTTAATGTCTCAAGCGGTACCTCGACCGTTCTCAGATCGACGTCCGAAAGTCCGGACTGGGGAACATCAGCTATGGGCAATAACGGAAAGGAATTGACTCACGGGTTCTACGATGAATGGGATCACAGCGCCCAGTCCGTCGCCCTCATTCAGACCTATTCCTGCAACCTTTACAACGCCAATGTATCTTATCTTCTTTCGCTTTTCGTCATCCATTCCAGCCAGCCTCCCCGGGTCTGGCGGCCAATCTTGAAAAATTACCAGTCGCGTCGCGATACCATTGTCCCATTCCAGTCCAGCCATGGCCGGCACCAGCAATGCATTGGACTCCTCCCGGAATCGAGTCACCACTTGGTTTGTGAGCAGAACCGGTATGTCGCGTACCGCTGCAATCTTGCCTAGTGTAGACACTAAACTACTCATGACAGCATACCGGCGGCCTGCTGCCCATTTCGAATTGTCATTTTTGTTCCCTTTCGCAGCACTAGTCCGTGGATAGGCATGGTCAAATAAGGTGGACACTGAGTCGATGACGACCAACGAGGTGCCTTCAGGAGGAAAAGCCGTGACCGGATGTGCGGTCAGCGCGATTAGATGAGCCAAAGTCCGGGTAGAGTAATGGTGAAATCGAGGGAGCATATCGGCGGCGGAGAGTGTTTCGTCGATAGAAGAGCTTGGACCTTCCGGCTTGGAAGGAGGCGTGAGCAACAGTGCTTCTAGACGTGTTTTTGATACACTTGTCGCCGCATCTGCTCTACGGTCAACAACAGGCTGAGACTGGAAGTGCAATGTACCCACCTATCCATACAACATGGCCGCCTCGTTGTAGTGCGTTCTTAGCAGCCTGCAACCTTGCATTATCTGTTCAGCCACGTGTCTTAAGCTTCTAATATAGGTTGGCCACCCAGTATTGATATACACATACCCAAGGGCAGTCTTGCCCGAACCCGGCGGCCCATAAATTTCCGTCACCTGGCCGCGGCTGAGCCCGCCTTGTCCGGGTGTAGCTGTCCGAGGTTGGAGAAGCGCATCGAGTTTTTTTAGACCTGTCGAGATGGCGCGAGGTCCACTGATCCTGAGGGTGCGGAGGGCTTGAGAAGCAGAGAAAGTCGGAAGCCTGTCTGAAGTCAAGTCAGCAGCTTCCGAGCGGTAAGAGCTGGGAACTTACGGGTAGATTGCGAGGAAGACGGCGGGTTCGTATTTTGAAGAGCCATTGTTATCGTACAGAATCCATTATAAGTAATCTGGGAAAGGTTCGTTGTTGCGAGGAAGGGTTGACGGGCTGAGCCGTGGGGTTGATTGTGGAAGACGCGTCGTGCGCGAGCGACGCGCGACGTCAGAGTGGTGCGAGTCATGCAGAGGCACCTACCCGAGTCATGCACGGGTCCCTCTCAGCTACACGCCCGTGTTCACGTTTCCTCTTTCAACACCACATCGATCAGTCAGAATCGCCTTGCAAATGAGGTAACCGTTCTTCAGACTTACTTTTACTTCTTTTCACCCCCTCCTTTACTTTTCGAGTTGTGTGAATTTGCTCTGTTCTGCTTCCTTTCGCTCTCTATGGCAGAAACTGCTCCGAAAACCGGCGGCATACTCGCACTAGTCGTGGTTGAGAACTGGCATACCATCCTTTCCTTTCTTCTAGTTACCATTTCCACCATTGTAATCGCTGCTATAACTCTTGACGTCCGCCGGCAAGGCCAGGAACAAGAGCCTCCAGCGGGCTGTCGCCGACTCGGGCTTCCTCCAGGAAAGTCAAATCTCCGAGATCAGTATGATCCAAAATACGCCAAAGGCAGCGACAAAGACAAGTCATCATGGAAGGTCAAGGCTTTGAGTATCTATCCGGTCAAAAGCTGCTTCCCCGTCGAGCTCGACAGTGGCGAGGTCATCCCCACTGGGATGAAATACGACCGCCAATTCACCTTCGCTCAGCTCATTAGCTCCGTGGCGAAGGACGGCAGTTGGGAGATAAACCACCAGTGGTCTTTCGTCACTCAGCGCCAATCACCGCACCTGACCAAGGTGACGACCGAGCTCTGGGTTCCTGACCCTTCGTCACCCACTTATTCTCCGAACGGCGAGTGGGTCAAGAACGAAGGTTGCATTGTCATTTCATTTCCGTATATGGAAGACAAGCTTTGGATCAGCGACAGACTCGAGAGGCTCGGTGCTTTCATCCGCAAGAACATGTTGATGCAAACTCACCTAGACTACGACGGTCCACGCGTTTGCTTCCGAATTCCCTTTAACCCGACCCCGGAGCGCATCAAGGAGAAAGCCTACCCACGTGAACCCATGAAGATCTGGGACGAGTGCCCCGAGGCACTCAACATGGGGGTTGAGATCCCTGAAGAAATACTTGCCAAGCTGAAATATGCACTTGGAATATCAAATCAGCTAACCTTGTTTCGCGTCGACCCTCTACGCTTCCGCGAAGTCTACCGCTGCGCTCCCAGAAAAGGCCAGGAAGTGGAGTACCAGCCTGTCGTCGGCATGGCAGACGCAGTAAGTAAACTTCCAATCGAGTATTATCCGGAACTTACTCAGTGACACCCCTTAGTACCCCCTCCATATCATCAATCTTGCCAGTGTCCATGATGTCGCCTCCCGACTTCCGAAACCTACTCGCCTCGACGCCATCCGCTTCCGTGCAAACATATACGGTAAGCCCCAGCGTACTCAGAGCAGCAGCATCTTGCACTGACACCACCCAGTTACCGGTCCACCGACATATGCCGAGGACCACTGGCGCGTCGTTCGCATCGGCTCACGGCGCTACCATGTTAGCTGCCGCACGGCGCGTTGTACAATGATCAATGTCAATCCAGCAACTGCGGAGCGAGAACGCAATGAGCCGTACAAGTCCATGTCAGAGTACCGAAAGATTGACTCCGGCGCGGCGAAGTGGCCGTGTTTGGGCATGCAGATGGTGCCGATGAGTGGAGATGAAGGGGAGATCAGAGTTGGGGATGAGATCGTTGTGGAGGAGGTGGGTGAACATTGTTATATCCCCCAGGGTCCGTCATAGAGGGTATCAAGTGTTGTAGAACTGTTGCACAGGATTCCGGTTTTACGTTAAAATTTCATCCAGGCACATTTTATTCCTTCTTTTCCTTGGTCATATGATATAAAGGCTTGATGGCTGCTCAATGCACTGCCTATTGAAACCAACATCCGTGGAATCTAATCGTTCCTCTCTTTGCCCTTTGTCGCATGATTCCCGTATTCTTCGTGGCTGTGCCCCGTCCCACGATCCGATCAGATTCGTCATCTCTCCTGACATGCTTTGGAGCTTGCCTGATATGGGTATCCTAGTGTAGTAGATTCCCTGGTCTACCGGCATCCGGCTGTTCTTTCGCAGTACCCATCGTCTGGAATAGCGCCAGACGTAGTCGGACAAGGCCGAGCTGTACCCTCTCACTCCTTCCCCCAACCCAAACAACAATAGAATCCCGCCTCTCCAGCCATCCTTACTTCGTACCCACACCCTTCTCCGCACCACCGCCACCCTGCGGCCCCTCCTCCTTCGCCATCTCATCCGTCCCGACCAACGCTCCGGGTAACAAATACACCACATCCCTCCTCCACCCAGTCCTCCCCGCCTGCCCGCTGTTCCCCTCGCCTTCGTCCTCGCCCTCCTTCTCACCGGCGCCGCCCGCGAAATGCGCCCAGTCCAGGTGGTACCCGACGACGCACGCGCACCGCGCGCAGCGCTGCACCCACCGCTTCTCGAGCCCGTCCTCGCGCCGCACGATGCGCGGCCGGCGGTCGAGCTGGACGCTCAGCAGGATCGCGTAGTGTCCTCCTCCTCCTGCACCACCACCCTCGCCTCCCGCCGCCGCCGCCGCCTGCTTCCCTGTGGAGTCTTCGTCGTCGGCGTTGGCGGTCGGCGGTCGTGCGGGGAGCGGGAGGATGTAGGCGCGGTCGAGGAGGGCCGAGTCGTCGTCGTTGCCGCGGCGAGGCAGGGAGGGGAGCGGTGTTGTGGATGCGAGGATGAGCTGGGTGCAGATGCAGTGGTATGTGTAGACGGGTGGGGTGGCGGCAGCGGCAGCGGCGGAAGAGGAGGAGGAAGCCTCCGCCGTTGCGGGCGTGGGCGAGGCGCAGCCGGCGGGTGGGGAGACGGTTGTCATGGCTGCGCGACTCGTCCTGTGGTGGATTGGTTTGCTTCTGGGAGATTTCGGAGGTGCGCTTGAGCTTTGGAAGAAGTGTAAGAGACGATTGATATTGTTGGGAGCAGAAGACGTACGAGGTAGCTGCACGTTGGATTTTCTGGTCGACGCGCCAAGGCGCAGGGCGAAGGCAGAGCTGCTGCAAGCTGGCGATGACGCACCTCGCGGTTCCAAATATCTTTCCACCACAACACCACTTTCACAAAAGTTTAGCGACAACCTAATTAACTGCAAGGAGCGCTCGCGACGGCCATTGGACCTCGATACACGCAACCATGCCACCCAAACCCCTCACCAACCTCCCCATCCACTTCGGACCCTTCCTCGTGACGCCGCAAGTCTTCCACATAACGCCTCTTAGCTACGCGCTCGTGAACCTCAAGCCGCTGCTGCCAGGCCACGTGCTAGTGTGCCCTCGCCGCGTCGTTCCGCGCTTCACGTCCCTCACTCCCGCCGAGGTGACGGACCTCTTCTCCACCGTGCAACGCGTCTCGCGCGTCATCGAGCGTGTCTACGGCGCGCATGCGCTCAACATTGCGATTCAAGACGGTCGCGCTGCCGGTCAGAGCGTCGAACATGTGCATTGTCACGTTATACCCCGGCGTGATGCGGACATGGACGCGAAGGGCGGTGGAGATAAGCTATACGAGATGATGGAAGGGGAGGAGGGAGATGTCGGTGGTGAGTTGAAGAGGAGACAAAACGGAGAGAAGCAGGGAAGATTTGTGGGCCCGGATGCAGACAGGAAGCCGAGAAGTGATGAGGAGATGAGGAAGGAGGCCGAGTGGTTGGCGGAGGAGATGGAGAAGGAGGTGGATTGAGGGAGCAACAGGCAACTGGAGATGAGACAATTCTCAAGAGTAAAAGGATGGCTTGGACAACATCAGTTACAACACGAAGGGCCAATTCACCGGACCTGCGGCATCCAGCGTAATAAACATGATTTACGCAACTTCACCGGCCCGTAGGACTCCCGCTTTGCTCATCCATTTCTCAACCCTTTCTAGGATATCAGACCCGGTCACTGTCTCCATGCAACAACATCAACATTTCCATCCCACAGGTCCAATGCCTCTTCTCTCTTCAGTGGACTCGTTTCTTCATCTCCAGGCAATCTCCAGACGGTAATTCCTACACCGCTCATCTTCAAACTCGTCACGAGCGGTCCCAGCAACACCCTCTCAACTATACAGTTCTTCTTTTCCAGTTCCTCCTTTGCAAGCTCTGCAAAAACAGCTAGAACGACATCGCTTGTACTCCCCAGGCTATTCAAGGCCAGGACTACACGGTGAGGCTTCTCTGGAGTGGCGCCGTCCGGGAAAGGGATGAAAGCACGATCTTCATCAGAGGTATTGGTGATTAGGTCGATCATCCTCGCGACGAGCTTTGCGGGCTCTGGGGGAGGTGAAAGCTGCTGCAGCCCTGGCTCGCCGTGGGCGCCCATGCCGAGTTCAATGGTATCAGGAGGAAGGAGGGTGACCGGAGCCACAGTGCCAGTAGGGAGAGAGACGCTGTCCAGAACATCAGTTAGGTAATTCCGAACAAACACACCTCAGAGAGATGCCTCGAAACCCTCGGCCCGAGTCTCCTCTCGAAGCGCGCCACAGTAGCCTTCACAATGGCCAAGGGACACCACTCACCGATCAAACGCCACACCCATTGTGCCAACATTCGCCACCACCCACTCCATCACCTCCCTCACCCTATCCAACCCATACCCCGCCGCCCCTTTCTCCCTCTCCGCAACCCCGCACGCAATCTTCAGCCCGACCAGATGCCCGCTCAAGCCCCTCCTCCCGACCTTGCCGCCCTTCTTCCTGCCCACCGCGACGTCGTCGCCGACGGGCACGAACGCGACCTTGTAGCCGAGGGCCTGGGCGCGCGTGATGGCGAGGCCGGCGTTGAGGATGTCGCCCGTGTAGTTGCCGCACACGACGAGCGTGCCCGGGTGGTGGCCCGGGTCCGGCTGGCACAGCTTGATGGCCTCGAGGATCTGCGCCGCCGTCGGCGACGCGAAGATGTTGCCCGACACGTACGCGCTCAGGAAGGAGGGCCCGACGAAGCCGCCGAACATGGGCTCGCTGGTCGCATGTCAGCTTTTTCTTCTTCTTTCTCCAGAATTGTAGAGAAGATGTGATAAAGGAGAATGTCAGACAGCTTTGTGAGTTTTCTGCAAGAAAGACATGCAGATACAGACGATTCTAGACCATGCATAGACATTGTAAAAAGAAGAATAGTACTCACTGTCCGCCGCCAGAGAAGCCAATCGTTGTGACATGATCTTTCCGGAAATCAGCCAGGTCGCTGCGGTAGACGATCTTGTGCGTCGGTGCGTATGACAGCGACGGGTGATGTTGCGTCAGCCCCGTCAGCGCTTCATGGATAGCGTCGGCCGGTTCATTGATCAGGTGGAAGGTCTCTTTGATCTCCGATGGGCGGTGGTTCCCTTCTGCTGCTGTGGACATTTTCCTTCGGTACGACCTGGAATTGTTGGGTGGAAACTCGGAACGCTCGCTCAAGTGCTGGAAAGAAGAATGGATGTACTACTAGATAATGAGCAGTTCGAAATCGTAGGACACGTCGCTGTCAATCGGCGGGAACAATTAAAACACGAGCGGGAGTTCGAGGGGCCCAAAAACATGGCGACACGGGGCGGCCTTCCGCCATTACATATGATGTCGCGTGGACAGCGGGGAAGTGCGGGGGGAAGAGAAGAGGAGGGATTGGGGAATCCGGAAAGTCCCAAATAGGCAATCCCGGCACATTTGTGCTCTGACACCACGATTCACGAAGCGCTTTGCGGCGACGTTCCGGAATGCTCGAAAGGGGTAGATTCAAGCGCCGGTGGGCTGGACTACTAGCACGAGCGATTACGGTGCCTGTGCTGTCCGCTCCTTTTTGCGGTTATTCGAGCGCGTGGGTGCGACATTCAACTCGTGTGTATTTCAGTCATACTTTGCATAAGCATAAAACTTTTTGTTTCCTCATTCTTATACCTTCATTTCATATAAATATAGCCCTGAAATATAAGAGCAGAAAAGCACAAACATCCTGATATACTCTATCCCATAAATCCCAGCTAAATTCTCATGATACTACACATCTCAAGCCCTCCAGTTAACCAATCAAGCCACCCTTGTGGCAGGCGTAATATCGCTCCCGCTTGCGCTCCCCGTCCTACCTGCCTCAGCCTCCATCTCCTTTCCCTTAACGTTACGCCACTCTTCGCGGTCTGCTTCCGCATCCGCCTCGTTCGCCGTCAACTCTGGGAGCTCCTCGGCATCATCCTCAGGCTCCTCAGGCAGCAGCAAGTTCAGGATAAGCGTGACGAACGCAGTAACGGCAAAGCCGGTCTCGAGCACGAGCTCGATGGCGTTGTAGAAGCCGAGCAGCGCGCGGTTGGGGCCATCGTAGGTGAAGACGTAGGCGAACCAGTCAGGCACGAGGGTGGCGCCGTAGCCGATAGCAAGACCAGCGGTAAGGACGAAGCGGTTGCGGCGGGTGAAGGGCACAGTCGAGATGATGCGGATACCGCTGACGGCGACGGCAGAGAAGAGGAAGGTCGTCATGCCGCCGAGCACGGAGGACGGGATGGCGACGAGGGCGGCGGCGAACTTGGCGAAGATGCCCATCAGGATCAGCCAGAAGCAGGCGGCGTAGCCGGCCTTGCGGTTGGCGCAGCGCGTGAGGGCGATGACGCCGTTGTTCTGGGCGAACGTCGACATGGGCGTGATGGTGCAGAGGCCGGCGATAATACCGTTCAGCCCGTCCGCCAGCACGCCGCCCTGGATGCGGCTGTCGAAGAGCGCACCGTCGACTTGCAGGCGTGAGACATCGCAGGTGGCGGTGATGTCGCCGATGGCCTCCATCGCGAGCACGATGTAGACGGCCAGCAGCGGCAGCACGATCGGCCCGTATACAGACAGCTTGAACGTGTGTACCCAAATGAACGATGCAGCCGGAGATGCGTCGATGCCGGACCGGTCAAAGTAGCCGCACGCCGCTGCTACGATACAGCCAATGAGCAGTCCCACAACAACGGCGCACGACTTCATGATGGGCGATCCGAAGCGCTCGCACAGTATAATGGACACAAAGACGAGGAAACCCAGTCCGATGAATTCAGCGCTACCCCATGGCAGAGGGCGGGGGGCGTTGATAGTGGGGCAGAGTGCATAGATACCCGTCGGGCTCGTCAAGCAGTTGCCACTACCACCCGCCCAGTTCTGGAAGCCTGACTCAATCAGACTGATACCGATGAGCATGACCGTCGGGCCGGTGACAAGCGGTGGGAACAGCTTCTTCAGCATACGTGGCGGCATGAAGGACATCAGGATTTCGATCAGCGCGCATACGCATGCCGTACCGATGATGGCACCGTAGCCGTCGGGGCACGGCAGCTTATTTCCGCTCGCATCCGTCGGGCAGAAGCCAGTCTCATACATCTGGGATAGCGCGCCTGTGGCCACGGGGATGGTGGAGAAGGATGTGCCGACAACGGAGATTAGGCCAGTTCCGACGTAGTATGGAGATTTCCAGATGTGGAAACGGGTGATCTGAATGGACGAGAGGATACCACAGACGATCAGGGACGTCGACACAAGGTATTGTTGCTGCTCTGTTGCCAGGTTTGCAGCCGCGGCCAGGATGATTGGTGGTGTAATGACGCCTGCCAGCATTGCAAGCGCGTGTTGGAACCCAAGCAGAAGGGACAAGAAGACGGGCATCTTGTCATGGAGGCCGAAGAACGGGGCGGCACGGCGCTGCTTCTTGAGGAAGGGAAGATTTGGTCTGAAGAGGAAGCCATAGTCGTAGTCACCAATAAGGCCGTCCCTTAAGGGATAGTCAGTATGTCGAACGAATGAAAGAGCCACCACAGTCGACACAAGGTGATGATATGCGCTCCAAACAAATTGAGCACCAAAGTTCTGAAAAAGGCTTCAGGGAAAGCCCTGAACCAGTAGTCAAATCACTCACTTTGTGGTAACAGCCTTCCTAAATCTCCTCAACCTATCTCCGAAGGTCTGCTTGGGGCTCATATCAGGCCCAATGCGATCTGGAGAATCATCCATTGTGACGACGTGCAGTCCTCAGATTTCCGGATTGACTTTTTTCCACAAGGGTTTGGTCGAACCTTCTTGGCGGTTGCGCAAGTCAACGGTTCATGCAGTGGTGTCGCAGGTCTCTGTTCCAATGCAAAGTCTGTTGTAGTGGATGGTTTTGCGAGATCTCGGTGTCTGAATGACGAGTGATCGAGTGTAAGTAAGCCGAGTGTAGTCGGGGGTGGCGTTCGCGGGATAGCTTTCCGCTCGAGATTGGCTGGGGTTGACTGCTGACAAGAACTAGAGCAAAAAATTCGCGTAGATCCCGCAGGCGAATGGAGAGAGCAGGACCGGCGTTTCTACCTGGTGGGGAGCGCGGGGCGATCGCAGACGGAGACGATTGCGGTGGCCTGAGCAGCAGAAGGCAAATATATCGTGTAGGCGATGAGGCATATCTTGACATGTGCAGCGTCAAAGAAAAATCCATATCTCTAGCACTCGCGTGCACTTCCCGAAAAAGCGTTCGTGCGGCGCTCCTGGGGGTCGCAGAGAGGAGCTGACCGCGCCCGCACCCGCTGGAACAGGCCGACATGCGATCCGACGTCGTCCTCCGCCGCTGCATCCATCTCTGGGGCGTGCGGGAGAGAGCGGGCTGAGGGCGACGCTTGGGTAAAAGGTGCAGTGATGCGTTGCTGATAAGGCGCAGACCGGCCGTCGGTTGGCTGGCGGCTGGCCCGATAACGGTGGGCTCCGACCTCCCAGCTGCTGTCCTGCACCAAACGCCCACAAAACCAATTGTCATCCCGCAAGCTCAAAGCCTGTATCTCCGCCATACCCTCATCGAGTGCCGTGGCTGCGTTCCGGACCTAGTCCATGGGCGAGAGCGCCGACCTCCGACAAATTACTATCTGAAGCTCCCACCTCGTCGTTACATCATTCCGTGCCCCAATCGGCTTAGGCAACATTCGGATGCAATCCTGTTAAGAGATGGATATACGTTGAGTATCCTTAGAGCCGATATTGATACAACGGTTCGAATTACCTACCATGGCTGTCCTTCTCGAAGCATAATGTGCCTGGCCATACGGTTGACGGAGGCATGATTTTGCTGAGCGAATAGCAGAGGCCACGAAGGTTAAGAGCAAGCAGCAACAATGCCCCCAGTGCGATTGTGGCTGGTGCGCTGCGCTGTATGGTTGTACAGTACCTTACATGCCCGAGTTCATGCCGCAACTTTGCATGAACACGCGCCAAGCGGTGCTCTAAAGCTGCCTGAATGTATGGCGAATGATGCAGCCTTGGTTCCCCTCCTACAGTCTTTTCCACAGCCGTCTAGCAGCATAATGTCGGTTCCGTGCCTGAGCAGAATCCTGAGGCTCGATCAGAGCGTCAAACTTGTCCTCGGCGAGTCGACTTCCGTTAGCGAGATGGGATGAAGTGCGGAGTCTCAAGACTGAGGATCTGGGTGAAGAGACACGGATGACTGGGGTGAATCGCGCAGTTCAATTGTCGTCTTCCGTGGCGAAGTGTTCAGAATTTGAGATCGTAAGGCCCACAATTGTCTCCACCATGCTGTTGCTCTCTGTTACGAGTCAGTCATCACAGTTCAATGCAAACCTCTGATCGTTATTCTTCGACAGGAAAGCCGTCCTCTGCTTGCCATGACCTATCCTCGCATCTCGGGCTTTGTACAGTCCTCTCGACGCAACTCCGAGCGGTCAAAGTGGTGTCTCCAGTGAGCGAGATGCAGATATTGGTAGTGCTGAGCTTCCGTTATCGACGTTGTGTCGCTCCTGCTGTTATCGAGAAATGTTTCCATTCCAGCGTCGATAGTGCTATTGGCCCTGCCACGATTGCTCAAACTCGAGGCAAAGTCAAAGCCGGGTTCATCGAGAGGAGTGCCTTTCGATTCCGAAGACTCTGCGTTTGAGTTGAGTCTCAGGGCCGCCTGATGGCCGAAGCTTCTTGATGATTCTCTTGCGCCGCCGCAGTGGCGTGACCCTTTTCGCAGCCAACGCCAGAGGGAGATCTTTGCACACATTTCGTTATCCATCGACCACGACGACGAGCCTCATCCGCGCAGAGCGCAACCAGAATTCAGGTTCCGGCGTTGGAAGATGTAAACGCGGATGCCACACTGCTGCCATTGCGCAAGGCCGGGAACCGAGTTCCACATTCAGACGTTGGAAGGTGGCAACGCGAATGCCGCAGCGCTGCCTCTGCACTGCAGATGCAATTTCCTGTGCCGTGGGTGAAAACTCCTTCGTGCTGGCGGCGAACCGAGATCTAGCTTCAGACGTTCGACCATACCGCCGACGGCGTTGGCGGCAAACCGGTCCCAGAGTAGTAACAGGGGCATACGAAATTTCATCTAACTTACCAACAAGCGCAGCGGTTTAGACTGCGTAAGTAGGAGACACAAAGAGTCATGACCAAAGCCACGGGTCCTGTCTCTGCAGGTTGCTGCCACAGCATGCCGACAGCGCAGCAGATACGTGTCTCGGACTGGACCAGGCGCGATCACCGGCAGGCGGTCAAGATATCATCAAAGCAGATGCGTTGGGATTCCAGCGCAGGCAGAGGCGACGCCAGGTGGTCGTAGGCCGGTGAGTAGGTAGTGCACGCGGGCGAGGGGATGACAAGCTAGCCTCTGGCTTCAAAGGCACGCCGCTCGAATACTGCCGTTTACGCCGCCGCCGGGAGGATGATAGACCGTTCCCGGCACATGCTACGGCCGTGTGTCGAACGCTACTCTCAGTAATCGGCGGCCATGTGAAAGCCGGGTCACAGACAGCTCCCCACATGAAACAAGCCTTGGTAACTGAGGTGGTCGTGATGTGCTACAGCGAAGGCGATTGGCGGCGGCGGCCCCCAACAACAACAGCTAAGCGATGATGTCTTCGAGTGCCGAGGTCAGTCGCTGATTGGTGTCGGGCATGTGGACTGCGGATCGCTGCCCCAGAAGCTCTGCATCCTGGAGTTGCCACCATAGGGCTGAAGGGGCGGCAGCCGCACGCAGCTCGGAAGCTGACAGAGGCGCAGCTAGAGGCGCAGGAGAGTTATGCGGGCTCAGGGCGTGCCTCAGCGAAGGCCGGCATTTTTCTTTCTCCTTCTCGTGGCGGGCGGGCGGCAGCGGACGTTCCAGGTCGCGGAGCAGGAACAAGGGCAGAAGGAGCCTTGGGGCCCTCGCTTCCGGCTGATACCCGCGCACCTGCCGCGACGGTGGCGTTCTGGCGAATCACAGCCGCCAACGCCGCGACACGCGGCCCGTGCCCTCATTTTCGTTGAGGGCGGTACTGCTCGGTGTTGGGGAGAAGCTGGGGAGCGGCTTCAGCACGCACAGCACCCACCACCTTTTTTTGTTTCGCCTCAATGTCGCTACCTAAATACTACCTTCTCCGCCGCCCCCTCCACCTTCCCTTTTCTTCAGCCCGCTCGCTCACTCCCTCCCTCCCTCACCCTCCGCCCTCCGGATAGGCACACTTCGCGGCCACCACTTCACCCGTTGCTGCTGACGCCGTCCACTGCGACCATGCCCTCGCACCAGCCTGTTGCCGGCGACGAGGCCGTCAAGCCCGAGTTCCTCTCGGAGCAGCCCTCGTCCATGGCGAAGACTTCGGAGCCCAACCGCAACCCGAAGTACGACCCGGCCAAGAAGCACATCACCGAGTACCCCATCACCCGTCAGAACTGGTACAAGCATGTCGACTGGCTCAACTGCTTCTTCATCGGCGGTATTCCGCTGATGGGCTGCATCGCCGCTTTCTGGACTCCTCTTACCCTCAAGACGCTCCTTTGGTCTATCCTTTACTACTACTGGACTGGTCTTGGCATCACTGCCGGATACCACCGTCTCTGGTCTCACACTTCTTTCAAGGCCACTCTGCCTCTGCAGATTTTCCTTGCTCTCGTCGGTGCCGGTGCTGTTGAGGGTTCCATCAGGTGGTGGTCCCGCAACCACCGTGCTCACCACCGCTACACTGACACGGACAAGGACCCCTACTCCGTCCACAAGTATGTTCATCGTCCTAGCCATCACGTTACTCTTCTAACCTTCGTTCTAGGGGTCTCCTGTACTCGCACATCGGTTGGATGGTCATGAAGCAGAACCCGAAGAGGATTGGCCGGACCGATATTTCGGATCTGAACGACGACCCTGTTGTTGTCTTCCAGCACCGCCACTACGTCAAGCTCGTTCTCTTCATGAGCTTGATCTTCCCCACTCTTGTTGCCGGTCTCGGCTGGGGTGACTGGAAGGGCGGTTTCATCTACGGCGGCATCCTCCGCATCTTCTTCGTCCAGCAGGCCACCTTCTGCGTCAACTCCCTCGCCCACTGGCTCGGTGACCAGCCCTTCGACGACCGCAACTCTCCTCGTGACCACGTCCTGACGGCTCTGGTCACTCTCGGTGAGGGCTACCACAACTTCCACCACGAGTTCCCCAGCGACTACCGTAACGCCATCGAGTGGTTCCAGTACGACCCCACCAAGTGGTGCATCTGGACCTGGAAGCAGCTCGGCCTCGCCTACGACCTGAAGCAGTTCCGCGCCAACGAGATCGAGAAGGGCCGTGTCCAGCAGGCTCAGAAGAAGCTTGACCAGAAGCGTGCCAAGCTCGACTGGGGTGTCCCTCTCGACCAGCTTCCCGTCATGGAGTGGGACGACTACGTGGACCAAGCCAAGAACGGCCGCGGTCTTATTGCGATTGCCGGTGTTGTCCACGACGTTACCGACTTCATCCAAGATCACCCCGGTGGCAAGGCAATGATCCGCTCCGGTCTCGGCAAGGACGCCACCGCCATGTTCAACGGTGGTGTCTACGACCACTCCAACGCCGCCCACAACCTGCTTTCCACCATGCGTGTTGGTGTCATTCGCGGCGGTTGCGAGGTCGAGATTTGGAAGCGCGCCAACCAGACCAAGGGTGTTGAGTACATCAAGGACTCGCACGGCCAACGTGTGGTTCGTGCTGGTGAGCAGCCTACCAAGGTTCGCCAGCCCATGGTCAGCGCTGGCGCGGCATAGGTGCGATAAAGTTCAACGGATCGGAAAAAAATATCACAGGGTTGGGATAGTGGTGTGAACAAGTCTTTTACAGTTCAGCGAAGTCTGGACTTTGTTTTTAGAGAGGCGTTTTCGGAAGGTAGCGGGCATTTTCCATTTTCACAGGGTGAGACTGTATCTCACCTACCGTAGTTCCCAAGGAGAGCACGGATTGGGCGGACTTTTCGAGTTGCGAATTGCAACTCTAATGGTTATACTTAGAAATTGAGAGTCACATCACTGTGACACACATTCATCGCTCACTCATTTGCCAATGCCAAAAAACGGTCGTGATTTCCTCCCGCTCCTTCAGACTTAAACGGCAAATGCTGAAAATAGTTCACTCGCAGTCTTACGTGTGTATGCAGGCGACACAGTGACTTGATCATGTACCCGCATCCTTCTTTGTCGTTAGAGTCGCACTGCGCTAGCCCTGAATCCTTCTGTCCCCCAACAACCGCGTGCGCTTTTGCTCGTTCGTAGACTCTGCCGCTGCACAACAACCACGGGACATTCCTTCCCGACCCAGCAGACAAAGCCAACCTACTCGTCGCCGCCCCCCAGCCACGCCCGCGACTACGCAAGGGAGACAGCACTACCGCTCGAGCAATCTCTGGGCCGCATCCGCCGACGGACGTTCGGCACATTGGACAACCAATAGCCTCAAAGACGCTGACAGCCAAGCAGGCGGCCTGCATCTGCGGCTTTCTGGGCGCGCCCCGGCTGGCTGGCTGCCGGGACATCGATTTCTGACGCGCACGCCGCCGTCATCACCATCGGTGGTGCCTCTCAGATCAGGTACGACCGCACCACGAAAAGAGCAACGGCACGTGACGTCATTCTTCGTGGTGGCCGAAGGCAGCAAACGAAACTTTTTCACTTTCGCCATGCAGCGCAATCGAAGAGCCGCATTTCTGCCTCCGAAGGAAGAAGACCTGGAGAGTACGACCGATGAGGACAGTACGACGGACGAGGATGAGGATGATGGGGGCGGAGGTGGGGGCCAGGTTGGCGGCCATGCTCGTCCTGCGCGCCACCAACAACGGCCGGCGAAGCGGCTGAAGCGGGACGATGACGCTCCTACGGGTGTGGCTGACGATGGCTCGGATCGGTCTGGAAAATGTGGCTCGACGCCGTTGAGGAGCTTGGAGAAGAGGGTCAGTCCGCCTGCGACGAGGGAGACAAGAGCAAGTGTCACTTTTGGTAGTGACGTGGAGACGGAGGATGAGGACGAGGTGGAATCTGAGAAGGAGAAGGAGGACGGTTTGGTGCAGCATGTGGCGGGACCAAGGAACGTCAGAGTTACACCTACGGAGGGTCAGCTAGAGGAGACCTCTTCTACAGCAATCACTCAGAAAGGCACGACGTTTGTTCCATCGCCAATCCAGCTTACGCGCATACGCGACCTTCCTCCAGCTGCTAACATAGATACCGTCGCCCTGAGAGATATAGTGGGCGACCCACTGATCGTTGAGATGTGGCAGTTCAACTACATGTTTGATATGGATTTCCTGATGAGTTCTCTAGACGAGGATGTAAGGAGAAGTATGAGAGTTAAGGTCATACATGGAAGCTGGCGTAGAGAGGATGTCCAGAGACAAATGCTGGAGGAATGGGCCAAGCAATACCCCAATCTCGAAGTTATCCAGGCTTATATGCCTGAAGCTTTCGGGACGCATCACAGCAAAATGATGATCCTCATCCGTGCAGACGATTCGGCACAAGTCGTCATTCATACGGCCAACATGATCGCCAAGGACTGGACTAACATGACCAATGCTGTCTGGCGCTCCCCGCTTTTGCCTCTTCTACCCGAAAATACTTCAGAATCTACCGCAGGCAACAACGCCAACGAAAGCGGCAACATCAAGTATCCCATTGGCACGGGACAAAGATTCAAAGTCGATCTTCTTCGGTACTTGTCCGCCTATGGAAAGCGTCTCGCCGCCTTGACAAAGCAACTCGTTCGCTATGACTTCTCTGCCATCCGCGCTGCACTCGTAGCAAGCGTACCACGCCGCGTAAAGCTTGATGATAGAAATCCCGATGAACAGACATCTTGGGGCTGGGTTGGGCTGCGCGAGGTCCTCAGCCAGATCCCACTTACTTCGACCACGAGGCCGAGCAAGGGTATGGCCGTCGCCCAGGTCTCCTCAATCGCAACACTTGACCAAGCCGGTGCGTGGTTAGAGCATTTCCGCTCCATCTTAGAAAGCATCAAAGAGGGACCATCCCCGACCTTCTCTTCCCTTTCTACAACTTCATCCACAAAGCCAGCCAATGCCTTATCTTCCTTCCAAAAAGCTTCCAACTTATTGCGTCCCTCATCCGGGGGAAAAGCCACGCCTCCAGACTTCCGTATCATTTTCCCTAGCGTCACTGACGTTCGCACCGCTCTCGACGGTTACCGTGCCGGTGGCTCTATCCACTTTAAAACCCAGAGCGCGGCGCAGCGGAAGCAGCTGGCGTACATGCGTCCGGATTTCTGCCGCTGGAACACCAGCAAGAACCCGATGACGGCGTTAAGGAGTTCTGCTGCACCGCATGTGAAGACGTATGTGCGGTACGCAACCACGGCTAGGGGCGATGGCACAGAGCAGACAACGATCGATTGGGCGATGCTGACGTCGGCAAATCTATCGACGCAGGCGTGGGGCGCGCTCCCAGCTGCTGTGAAGACTGGGGACGGCGAAGCCAAGAAGGGGAGGAAGGACAAGCAGGATGGAGAGAATGGTAAGGAGGTCAGGATTTGCAGCTGGGAGATTGGCGTGGTAGTGTGGCCAGCATTGCTGGCGGAAGGCGAGGAGAGAAAAGAGGCGGTGATGCTTCCGGTATTTGGAAGGGATATGCCGGAGGTGGACAATTTAAGAAGTGATGATGTGGGAGGTGAGAAGGTCGTGGTGGGCTGGCGCATGCCGTACGATCTGCCGCTCACCCCGTATGCGGAGAATGAGGAGCCGTGGTCTGCGACAGCGAGGTATGATGAGCCCGATGTGAAGGGCTGTGTCTGGCCGGGGTTCTGAAGAGGATCTAGCGGTTGGTCGCTCCAAGCATTACCCGTAGAAGCAGGAAAGAAATACACCGCCACAAGGAAATGAAACCTCAGATTCAAACAATTAATTACTTTAGCAGAATCCATAAGCGTGAAACAAAATCCACCTCTAATCAACAGTAGCAAGGCAAGTCTCAAGTGCTTCATGTCACTGATAGATGAAAGAATTTCAAGCTATTCGCCTCCCTCCCGTTTACTGTTTGCCACCGTTACGTTTGCTGTTTGATGGTCATCTGGCAGCGTATATATTCTACGCTGCCTGCAGATATTCCATGGACCGTTTTGCGGATTCTTCACTTACGTACCTCTCACTAATTGTACCATCCAAAAACGAGATCATTCGATCAATTAAGCTAGCTTTTGCTATCATTACAGTTGAAATTCGTCATATACGGTTTCAAAGTCCATCGTAGGCTCCATGAGATGAATTAGTATTACTCTATGGCATAGGCCTTCTTAAAAAATTATACTGAGCAAGTCTCTAGAATGAGTGCGCAATCTGCTGAAAAGGGACTACATTCTGTACGACTCGAACGACATGCTGAATCAAGTGCTTTTTTCGAGTAAAATTTTAGTCATCAAGTCCCATTCCGTAGGCCCGGGGGCCAGGCGAATGTGACATCCATTTCCGCTGCCCGACTAAAGAAGCAAAGGCCGTTTAACCAGCGTTTTGTCCGCAGCATCGGTATACCATTAGCTCTTTCCTCGTCTACTTCAACTTCCAACGAGACATACTTGTCGATTTGACTTTCTTCAATATTCCGATCATCATCCTCAGATCGTCCGCTCCAAGCTGTGAAGGCAAATGCGGGTATTGATGTGTCGAAGTTCAATACACTCTCCTGCGTCGGTGGTGGTAGGTCGGGAGTCCCGGAGCAGCTTCTCCTTGCACAAGGACCACCGGAGTGATGTTTCCATGAGCTCTGAGTGCTGGGGACGGAGTAGTCGATTTCCTGAACCTCACGTCCGCCGATGAAAATTGCCGTATGTGGTTCTGCTGTTTCCTCGTCATCTTCCTTCTGTCCATCCCATAAGCGACCAAGGAAAAGCGTGTAGCCTTTCATAATCCCGCGTTCCAGATTTTTCGCCGTCATGCGCAAGTGGGTTTCCGCAGGAGTACAACTCTTAGTGCTCTCGCCGACGGCATTCTTCTGTTCTTCCAAATCAGAAAAGTAATTCTTAGATTCCAGTAGGTCTGCTAAGCTGTGATGCTTCAGATGTCGGAGCTTAACCCCAAGAGCTTCCAGAGGTGATTTCGGGGTTTTTGGTTCATCTTGGGTGATATTTTGAGGTGCATGTTGATCCAGGGAATGGAACATGAGATCATCTGTTGAGATTTGGTGGTCCAGTTTCCACAGCCAGCCGCTGGTTGTAACGCCGTGTTCCGATAGCTGTATGTCGACAAAACGGCAAGTTTTCAGGAAGGTGAGCTGACCTCTCTGCAAAGGTGGGGAGAAGTTATCCAAGGATATTGCCTTGAGATACTCAAAAATGTTCATGGCCTCGAGTTCGGCCGGCGTCTTCTCGACGTGAGTTTTGTAGATTTCGCCATTGAGTAGCCAAAGCGCAAGTATGCAAACTGCAAGACTGATGTCTGACTTGCTCAGACGGTTGGTGTCCAGGCGGACGCCATACTCGCAGCAGTTGGATGCTATTGGCAGCAAATCAGCGCGAAATCTGGCGTTCCGATGCGCAATATCCTCGAGGATCCTTGTCGTCATGGTGCGGGAATAATCCGATGCGCTGGAAATCCCATCATACAAGATGGTGTACGAATACCGTCCAGCCTTCCGAATAACAGTCCGACAAATGCCCTTCTCTTCATTCGACACGAAAGCGCTCTTCATGTAGGCCAAGCAGAACCGCGTAGCCGCCTTGTGGAACTCGACCGAGCTCACCATCAGCTCTCCCGGCACATCGCCCGTCCGCCAAAACTCATACTTCCGCTTCTTCCTCCACCACCGCCTGTCTTTCAGCGGAATCAACAAACTCATCTTCGGTCCCGCGCAATAATCCTCCTGAAACGTCCACGCGCGCTCCCACCACGGATCATCCGTCACTTCCCTCAAAATCCTCAACGCGGCCCTCGCCGTCCCCGCATCCACGCTCTCCTTCAACCTCTCATCCCCTGGCCTGCTGACACCGCCGCTGCCACCGCCGCTCTTGAACCCCGGTCCGCTCCCGCCCTTCAACAGCTTCCTCATCATCACCTTCTCAAACAGCCTCAGATCCTCCTCGCTCCCAACCGGCCGGAACAGCAGCGCGACCGGCCAGTCGCTCAGCTGGTACACCAGATCCATCGTGTTCAGCGCCTGCTCTTTCTCGACGGCTGCAGCAGCGCTATCATCGTCGTCGTCGATCTCCTGCGGCACGCATTCTCGGTCGATCCAGAGGCGTGCGCAGCCCAGCGCCTCGGCGCAGCGCCACGCGCGGTCGAGCACCACGTCGCGCACTGCTGACACGCTGGTCAGCATGCGCGAAGAGGCGGCCGAGGAGGAGGATGATGAGGAAGAGGCGCGGATGCGCCAGGAGCCGGTGGCCGGGCTGTCAAGGGTGCTGCTGGTGGGCTCCTCACTAGCGGCGTCGGCGGTCCACGGATAGGAGATGGCGATGTAGTCGCCGCTGCGGCCGTTGACGGTGGTGCGGGCGAGGGTGCGGGTGGTGGGTGTCGCAGTGAGGTGGTCATGGGAGGAGGAGGTGTCGTCGGGGTGTGATTTGCGCTTGCGCGCGAGCGGGTCGTGCGTGGTCAGGCATTGGAGGTTGGTGATCCAGGCGAGGGATTTGAGGTTGTGGAGGAGGTAGTGGTCCTGGATGTCTAGGAGTTGGTTGATGAGGTTGTTGTCGTCTTTTTTGGATTGGTGCTGGTCAGCACCGCTGCTGCGACTGAGGTCCCGGAGCGAGAGGCTGAGGTCTGTGTTCATGTGGGGAGAAAGGTTATAGGAAGGGGAACTTTTGGGTCATGTATTTGACTGCTTAGACCGGGTAGTCGAGTGTTTTTGGCGACGAGAAAAGAAGGTTGATTGTCGTCGTCATGCAGGTGCAGATGCAAGAGACGGGCGCTAAGCCTCTTCTTCAAAGGCGCGAGACGATCTCTTTTGGCCCCCACTGTGGCTTGAGCTCAGACCTCTCCAAGTGACTTCATGAAGCATTACTTTGTATTCTGCTACCTAAGCTGCAGGCTCGCACCTGTGTTTTCACAGGGATATTAAGGAATTCTACGGTTGGGGCAGCATTTGGCTTAATTTCTTTGCGCTGCTCTTGCAGAAATACCGTGCTTCAAACTCCGGACCCAAAAATATTTCCATAAGCAGCTTTGTCTATATTTCCAAATCTAGGCCAAACCTTAGATACTCTAGCTCTCTGACACAAGCATCTTTATATTAGCACAGCTTTCATTAAACTCTGCCATAGCGGTAGCTCTATCCACAAGTTGCTCTAAGTGTTCTACAGCATGGTAAAATCCAAAGACACTTTAAACAACCAACTTAGCAACTATGAGCTTTACCACGAACTTTAGTGCCAACAGTACAATTCGATAAAATAGTAGTTCACTAGCCGAAAAGGAAGAGAAATTCTAAATTGTAGATTTCATCGAAACTGTATAAGTCCTTTGACTGGTCTTTCTAAAACCACGATATTTTGACTAAATAAAACCGGAAGCCACCAACAAAATTCCCCACAAGCTATCAGCGCTAATAAAACTAAAGTTGACGGATATCATAAACGGCAACTTGATTTGCCGTAGTGACTGCAAAGGCAATCCAGACCGTCAGCGAGACATGTACATTCTGTCCAATTAGTGCTATTTGCCGTTACTAGCGCCTCCCGCTCATTCCGCTCATTTGGCTCATCCAGCTCACCCGGTTCATCCAGCTCATCTGCCTCATATCATGGTCTCCATGTTTATTAAACTTGGTGTGTTTGGGTCACAAGTCCCACAGAGGGATTTTCTTCAAGAAAGCGGCTTTCTCCCGTATCATGGCGACGGAAATGATGCTGGCAGTGTCCACAGAAAAGGCGCGTAGTACCACCACACAACTCTCTACCGTGTCTGAGAGTTAACTAATCAGAGTTGAAACGGCTGTTTCAAAATGAAGGTCAAGGAGGAGATGAAAAGGGTCGAGATGTGAAGGTCATGAGTAGCACGTCTCCACCAACAATCACTTCATCATAAAAGTGATTATTCGATGAAATAATAAAGATTGGAGATGCCGTTCTCATTGCTTGAATTCCGACTTCCTCCATGAGTTCCTTGATTATCTGATTGAGGTCCACGATCCGAGACAAAGATGAGCCGAGACTCCAAAGTACAGTGCGTCACTTCGAGGGCCATCGAGTTGTCAACACTTTATTCCAACTACACTTGACTGTATTCGCCTCCATGTCACCCGCCAGGCTGACGAAATGCTGGTATTGGTCCATCCAATTCTTTCCCCCATGCTTTTCAAGCTTGTTCCTGAATTCACTCATGATACCATTTGCATGCGTAATTTAATCTCGTCCGCATCTACCAATCGGGGGGACTGGATTGTTTGTCTCTTGTACAAGCATGCCGATGTTGATCTTCAATTTGCTCTGAAGACATTGAATCCTCTCTAGCCAATTGCTTGAAACCTTGTAAATATTGCTGTTGAGCTTCCAAGATAACTCCTCGGTAGAGATGCAACACGGAAGCCGAACTAAATCGCGAAGATTGGACATAAAACAAGCGTACGGTCAGCAGCATAAAAGCTCCAGACGCTTAAATGATTCATAGAAATCAAGGGAGCAAAGGCTCCCACCAGGCTGTGATCGGCGGTGTCAATTCTGGACCGGTAGTTTTGGACAAAGCTAGAGACGGCCTTGCATGTAAGCATTTAGAGAGCATGCACGACTGAGTCCTGCTGCCTGTTGCTGGCGTGATCAGAACCAATTAGGGAAAGCTCTACTTTGCACGTAAACGTCACTGAATCGCGCTCCGATATTGCATATGCGGGGTATTTCATGACGGCTCATATGAGCCAATGAAGACTGAGCTGTGCCGAAAAGGAGCTTTAGTAAATTTGACCGCATCTTGTAAGCTTGATTTCCAAGCATTTTTTGCTTGTCAATTGGTAAGCAATAATTGCGTGTATCTCCACAGCAGCGCCTTGACTCTGGTGCTGGGGTAAACTTGAGTCGCGACTGGTGGCCGCACCATGCAAGTCTCGCCTGCCCCACACATTCATAAGCCGGAGCTTGCGGCACAGCAGGTCCAAAAGACTTGGCTCTTGGCAGCTCTTTTTCAAACGACGTATGGCCACGTTCCACAGGTAAAGGAATCAGGTGTTGTGACGTAGATGTAATCTTTCGAAACATGCAACAGCATTCGAAGGTGTGCTCCGACTACCCACGCAAGCAAACTGTAGTACTTCTTGCGAAGCATTCTTACGAATGTACGTCTTTCGTATGGCTCATTTGGTGCTTATCTCCGGAGATATCCAATCCGGGATCGTCAAGGTGCGACAACCTGCGAGGAAAGTCGGTGGTGCGCGGCGTCTCGTCTCGGCGAGTTTTGTAAATTCACCGAGATGGTGTTCGGTCTCTTCAGAGGTTACGTGGACGGTGACCCTGATGTATATGCGGCAGATCCATAAACCTGCTGCGGTGAAGTCAATCGATCCGGCCTATGACAATCGGTATCTGCCAAATCTCCATCAGCTATCATATCACCAAAGATCTCACTGCGGGTTTGAAACAGTTTCACAGCCGATCTCTAAGCACAGAGCTTAGCCGCCCCAACATGTAGGAGCCCCTATTGTTTCTGACCACCTCCAGCCTCCATCTTGCGGGTGGTTTTCCAGCCTAAGAGCAAATTTTCACGGCCGGCGCTCCTCTGTGCATCTAGGCAAGCCACGGACATCCACAGTCATGCGTGGCCCTGCATGGCCTACAGCCCAAGTCTTTGCAAAGGTGTCCAGTTCTCCTCCACCGCTATCACGCACGCTCGTGTCAAAGTGGCACGCAGCCCCGCCTTCGAGCTGATGGGTCCACCGGGCTATTGACCGCAAGTGCACCGCCTCCGTGTAATTTCGCCGGGTGTCCGCAACGATGGAGTCAGTCCGAATGATGGGCCCGGTAGTACGCGTGGGTTTGTTGAGCAGAAGAGAGGGCAAGAGAAAGTGCTACGCCAAGCGTGTCTCCGGATGTGGTGTCACTTGGTCCCAGGATCCGATCGATACGGCCAGGTGTGGTGATCCTGGGGAATTGTTGAGGCGCCTGCCTCCTGGTCCCGATAGCTGGATGGAGACAGATGGGCGCCCCTCCTCAAGGGACATGGCGGTGTCTGAGAAGCTCCATGAAGGTGGGCTACCCCTCACTCCTATTCGGTATCTTCGTTGGCCTCCTTCTGGCCTCCAACCACGCTATCGTTCCTTCACCGTATGCTGCAGGGATACCCCACGCCGATCCCCAGACGACGGGCGCAAATCGGGTTCAGTGGCCATGGGGAAACACGTAAGAGGTGGTCCGGATGAATGTTTAGTACGTCACGGAGGGGGCTGGTGATGGTCTCGGTCAAGATGACGGCGTCCAAGAAAGGGGAACAGGCGAATAAGAGGGAGCCACGCCGTGATGTCAGAGGATTCGAAGCACAGCAAAAAACTTTTCACCAAAGGTCGACAGACGGAAACCAGTCTCCGACAGCCCTCTGTTCCTGACTCGATTTCTCCAGTGGAGTTACCCATGCTGATTCAAGTGCTACCCCTCACGTCAGGTATGTGGAGGCCCACGATGTGCCCGGGCATGAGAGATGTTGGTTGCTCTATGCCCGGGCATAGAAATTCCGGTCAGGCTGCTGCTGTTGTGCTGGCAGCCATGATGCGCATCCACAGGCCAGCCACATGATCATGATCAACGTGTAGCCGCCGAGTTCCATGCGCCCCCAGACACACAGACTCGGAAGTTGTCAGAGCTTGCGATTCATTCTGACTCGACATGATGCTGCTTATTGAAACCACATTAGAAGGGATCAACCCATGCGATATCGGCCAATAGTCACCATCAAAACAATAGTGAACGAACATTGACCGTCGGAAGATGCGAAGCCGGCTGGCGGCAATTCAACGAGCCCGACAATCGTAAGAGTTACTTCAAGGGGTAGCATTTGGTAAGAGATTGGGAAGAGTTTTGTCAGCACGGACTGGAGGGCGAAAAATTTAGGCGCATCACGAGCTTGTGGGAAGACTTATGCAGGGATGGTTATTACTTGCAGAGCGGTGTGAGGCATAAGCCTCGCTGATGTGCAATTGATTTACAGCATCTGGGTGTTAAAAGAGGCTTGGTATTGCCTATCGGATTTAAGATCTCTGGCATGGGCCACGGATGGCAGACCGTCCCCTGTGCTTACAGTGGCATGGCATTCTTCCGGCGGTCAAGGAAAAAGTGCCGCAGGAAGTGCCACCCTATCAGTGCAGAGGCCTGGTGCTCGCATGCGACACCGTCGGATGACTTGCTCCGTACAGGAGGCGGATCGGAGTCAACGTCGGGGAGGCGAAGGGCAGCGTGGTGTGGCTGCAGGTATATTCAGCCGGCCGGGCCGAGCCTTACCCAGGCTGCATCGGCTATCGACCGTCGAAGATGCTCGGGGAAATAAGAAGAATTGAGGCCGCGGCGGCAAAGCTGGCCGAGGTTTGTCCTAGGACGGCGTACCATCTCCACAGGGTTGCAGGCGCGAGCAGAGACGGACCTGGATGGCGTGCGGGGACGAGCGAGAGACCTTGTCGCAGGTCGAATGATCACCCCGCAAAATCTAATGAGACATTGGCGCTCGGCGGCAGCTGTCTCGCAGCGAGAGGTGTGGTGAGAGGGGCTCACGTCACGGTGGTGTGACATGGTTAGGACGGCGAAAACGGCCGTCGAGGGGCCCGTCCAAGGCACCTAGGCATGCAGGACAGCTCTCCGC